TCCTTCTTTAATCACTCCTCTTTGGACCTTCTTCCTTGAGCTCGAGTTAAGCTATGGAGAATGGGTATTTTGAGAGTTTCTCCTCTCAAAATGATAGGGTTGGACGAGCTAGATGCTTGGGGTGAGAGAGAGTGGTTGATTTTGTCTCAAATGACAAAATGTGTGATGGGAGGGGGGTCCTCCATGTACCTTTGATGCCAAATGCTCCTCCTCCGCATCTTCCTTTGTCATATTAGTCCCTCACATTAATTTGAGAACCCAAAAACGTGGGGTGGCCCACACTCACGTGGGAGGTCATCCCATTATGTCCCGATGTGTACAATTAGCCCCAAAAGTTGTATTTCTCGGACTGTTTTAACTATAATTTATTTTATCGGGTCAAATAAAATATATTAAGTGTCCTCAATCATCATGGACATATAGAATAAATAGTACATTCCCCAACTTAAATTTAGAAGACTCGAAACACATTTCGGTATGTTATCCGATAAATTGCCAATAGCGGAAATTGGACGTCGTTTGACCAACGCGTCAACTCTATGCCTTTTCCATGGCCCAAATAAAATATCCACCACCATATACATATTATCTCGACCAAGATGAATATAATATGTGGTCCCGAGATTATCGTGTGGCCCCCGCTCCTGATGTGGGCCCCACGTGCAATTCATTATTCACGCGAAAGTAAAAACAAAAATTTACAACCTCGTAAATTCATGATCATTATTCAAGGTTTATTACATGATTTACTAAAAGTAAATATACTTGGGGACGGTGTTACAAGTTCACCCCCTTATTTGGGATATCATCCTTGAAATCAACGTGTCTAATCGAAAAGAAACGGGTATTGTTCCATCATTGAGACCTCGGTCTCCCAAGTTTGTTCTTCGACCCGGTCACTCCTCCAAAGTACCTTGACCATAGGAATCTCTTTGTTCCTAAGCTTCTTTACCTGCTGGCCCACTATCTTCACCGGTTCCACCGCATACTGTAAGTCCTCTCGGATCTCTACCGGTGGTCTCTCAAGAATATGTGATTCATCTCGTACATACTTCTTGAGCATCGATACATGGAACACGTCATGAATCTTCTCAAGTTCGGGTGATAACTTGAGACGGTAAGACACGGCCCCAATCCTTTCAGGGATTTCAAACGGACCAATGTATCGGGGGTTAAGCTTACCCCTCGATATGAATCGGATGATACCTTTCCAAGGAGAAATCCTTAGAAACACCTCATCACCTACTGCAAATTCTAACGGTCTACGCCGTTTATCGGCATAGCTCTTCTTCCGATCTTGGGCAGTCTTAAGTTTATCCCGAATGATCTTCACCTTAGCCTTGGTGTTCTCGACAAGTTCTATACCTTCGAGCTTGGTCTCGCCAACCTCGTCCCAACACAACGGTGTCCTACATTTCCTCCCATACAATGTCTCTTATGAAGGCATGCCAATACTCGCCTGATAACGGTTGTTATAGGCAAACTCCACTAGTGCCAAATGTTTGTCCCAACTCCCCTAGAACTCCAAGGCACATGCCCTAAGCATGTCTTCCAAAATCTGTATCACCCGTTCGGATTGCCCATCCGTCTGTGGGTGGAATGTTGTGCTAAACTTCAGTTTAGTTCCCAACGATGCTTGAAACCTTGGCCAAAACCTGGATGTGAGTCATGGGTCCCTATCCGAGACTATGGATATTGGAACTCCATGTAACCTCACAATCTCTTCTGTGTATAACTTGGCCAACCTTTCAAGCGGATAAGTGACGTTGATAGGCAAAAAGTGTGCACTCTTGGTACGCCTATCAACTACCACCCATACTGCATCGTAGTTGTTCACCGTTCGTGGAAATCCTACCACAAAGTCCATGGTCACATGTTCCCACTTCGATTCTGGAATGGTAAGTGATTGCAAAAGCCCTGCCGGGTGCTGATGCTCCGCCTTAACTTGCTGACAAGTAGGGCACCGACTCACATACTCTGCAATGTCCCTCTTCATGCCTGACCACCAATAACTTTCCTTTAAGTCGCGGTACATCTTTGTACCCCCCGGATGCATAGCATACGCCGAGGAGTGAGTCTCCTATAGTATGGACTTTTGGAGCTCTTCATTCTTCGGTATACATATACGATCCTTAAACAACAATAGACCATCCTCTCGTACCCGGAAATCCTCAACGGGCCCCGCCATGATCCGTTCACAGATCTTTTGACATTCTTCATTGATGCCCGAACATCTGTTGATCTCATCCATCAAAGTAGGTCTAACCTCGAATCTCGCTATGATGGCCCCACTCGCGGTCACCTCTACGCGCGCCCTCAATGCTCGTAGGCATGTGAGTAACGTCCCCGACGTACTCTTCCTACTCAGTGCATCGGCCACCACATTGGCCTTACCGGGATGATAGTCGATGATCAAGTCATAGTCCTTGATCAACTCCATCCATCTCCTCTGTCTCATATTCAACTCTTTCTGGGTGAATACATACTTCAGGCTCTTAAGGTCGGTGTAGATGTGACATGTCTCCCCGTAGAGATAATGCCTCCAAATTTTTAGTGCAAATACTACCGCTCCCAACTCTAGGTCATGGGTAGGGTAGTTCACCTCATGCTTCCTCAATTGCCTAGAGGAATAGGCAATTACCTTCCCGTTTTGCATCAGTACACATCCAAGCCCTTGGATGCTAGCATCACTATAGATATCATACGCTATCCCTTGTATGGGTAGAGCAAGAACAGGTGCCCCAGTGAGTCGTTTCTTTAGCTCAAGAAACCCTTTGTCACACTTGTCGTCCCATACGAACTTAGCCCCTTTCTTCGTGAGCTTCATAAGTGGTGACACCAACACGGAAAATTTCTCCACAAATTTACGATAGTACCCCGCTAAGCCAAGGAAACTACGTATCTCCTTCACATTTTTGGGTCGCTCCCAATCGATGATAGCTTCTATCTTTGCGTTGTCCACCACAATGCCCGATCCGGATATGACATGTCCGAGGAAGCCAATCTTCTTAAGCCAAAATTCACATTTTGAGAACTTGGCAAAAAGTTGCTTCTCTCTTAGCCTTTCAAGCACAAGCCTCAGGTGATGTTCATGTTCTTCTTCGTCTCTTGAGTATATCAAGATGTCATCAATGAATACAATCACAAACTGATCTAAGTACTCACTAAGCACACGGTTCATCAAGTCCATGAATGCCGCCAGTGCATTGATTAAACCAAATGACATCATAAGAAACTCGTAGTGACCATATCTAGTGCGAAATGCACTCTTAGGTATATCACTCTCTTAAATCAATCTTAGAGAACACCATGGCCCCCCGAAGTTGGTCAAACAAGTCATCAATCCTCGGTAAAGGATGTCTATTCTTGATTGTGACCTTGTTCAACTGTCGGTAGTCAATACACATTCTCAGTGTACCATCTTTCATTTTCACAAAAAGTACCGGTGCTCCCCACGGTGAATGACTAGGTCTAATAAACCCATTGTCCAGTAGTTCTTGTAATTGGACTTTCAACTCTTGAAGTTCTGTCGGTGCCATTCGATAAGGATGAATCGAAATGGGTTTGGTTCCCGGCTCTACTTCAATCACGAATTCAATCTCTCTATCGGGTGGAAGCCTCGGTAAGTCTTTGGGGAAGACGTTTGGATACTTACACACGACACGTACATCGTTGATGTCGACCTCCTTCTTTGTCCCATCTACCACGTAAGCAAGGTACGCGTGGCAACCTTTCTTCATCATCTTCCGTGCTCTCATCACGGATATGATATAACTTTGAGATCTTCCTCGATCTCCCTCAAAACGTATGGCGTTTCCCTCATCATCCTCGAGTTCTAAGACCTTCGTGTACCAATCAACTCGAGCATGATGCTTCCCGAGCCAATCCATCCCTAGGATCGCATCAAACTCCAACATACTTAGAGGTACGAAATCACAAGTCAAAGATTGACCCGTCACTTCTACCTCACACGATGGATAATAGTGGTCCCTCTCCACATCATCTCCTAACGGTGTGGAGACTAACAAGGTCTGAGTCATCGGCGTCAATGGCACGTCAAGACCTTCGGCAAACGCTTCGCTCACAAAAGAAAGTTGCGCTCCAGTATCAATGAGAATTCTTGTGTTTCTTCCATTGATCAAGAGTGTTCCTACATTTATAGATAATGTAAGACACACTACGTAAAGTGCCGGATCAAAACGAGCTAATTTTTTTTTAACTGGACCGACACCGATTATGGGCCTGACCAGCGCCGGTTGGGCCGGAAATTAATTAATTATTAATTTTTTTTTACGTCGGAAAAGTAATCGCATTGACCGGCGCCGGTTGGTCAATGATCGGTGCCGGTTGGGTCCAAAAATGAGTCGGTTCGAAAAAATGCATCGGTTGTTGAAGCGTCGGTGCAAAACAGAGAGTTGGACGCTATGATCGGCGCCGGTTGGCCTGTGACCGGCGCCGGTTGCCCCCTGGGCAGCCTTTTTTTGCTCATTTTAGCTAGAAACCGGCCGGTAACGTCGCTGGCCAGCCCATACAAACCCGTTATCACAATTAACACATAATTCCATGTATTTTATCAGGGTTAACAAGGGATTACCTGCAACAGATTCGAGGTTGGCCCGAGCATTGGCCTCGGTCATCGCATAGACCCTCGTTTGGGCCCCGCCTTGGTTGACGGACACAGCTTGGTTCATTGATGCGCCGCCTCTGCCCGTGCCGCAGTGTGACGGTTCCGCACGGTTCTTTCCCGTCACGGTTCCTCCTTCGGCTCCCGAAGTCCCTTCTTTCCCCAATTGTGGGCAATTGGCCTTCATGTGACCCGAATTCCCACATTGGTAGCACCTCGGGGGTGCATTGCACTTCCCGAAATGGTTCTTTGAGCAATTAGCACATTTAGGCGGCCCCGACCTATGAGAAGGGGACGAGTGCCATCTAGAGTCCCTCTTCCTCTTCTCCAGTAGTGCCAGCGCCTTGAACGAACCACCGCCTCCGTGGTTTTTCTTCCTCGAATGATCGGGTGGTCCCGAATTGTTCCACTTTCTTTTCTCCGCCTCTTCGGCGTCTCTTTCTTTCCTTTCGTTCCATTGGGTTTCCCCAAGCATACCTTGTTACACCACCTCACTAAAAGTCATGTGACGTGAGAATGTGGCTCGGTCGCGGATGTCCAAAAGCAAGGCATCCCCAAAATGCTCCGTCATGCGGTCTTCATTGACCGCATATTCCGACAAGAACCTAGCCAAGGTCCTAAACTCTTGCCCCAATTGCTTAACAGTGACACCTTCCCTTTGCTTGAGGTTTGTGTACTCCCTATGCTTCACATTAACCTCGTAGTCGGAGTAGTATTGAGTGTAGAAACCCCGCTCAAAATTTTCCCATGAGACTATACCACGATACTTTCCTTCTACACCTTCCCACCATGTAGAAGTCATTCCTTCATGCAAGCGTGAAGCAATAGTCAACTTCACGTCAGGGGTGATTTGCATGTCTCTTGCTGCATCCTTCACCTTCTTTATCCAATCAGCGGCAACAATGATGTCTTCGGTGCCGTCAAAGGATTTGCACCCCAAAGCCCTTGCTTCCTTGAGGTATTTGGAGATTCTAACACAGAAATCTCCACGTGTCCACCTTGGGACACCCCTGAAGCGGCCCTTGAAGCTCCACGGCTCCCTTGATCCGAACTGCCTCGAGGGGCACGCCTAGCTTGACGTCTCAGCTCTCTCCTTTGCTTCTCTTTTTAATACCATTCAAACAATTCACCCATTTGGGCGAATCAAGCATCACTCTCATCATTGTCTTCCTCGTCGGTGTGGAAGTCACCCCCGTCATATGGGGTCTCCTCGTGCCTCGTTTCGGGAACATAGGTTGCATCATATTCCCCGGTGTTAGTTACATACACCGAGCTAACATGACCGTCGCTCACTGTTTGGGCTCGATGGCCCCCACGACTCCCACGGCCTCCACGGCCTCTTCTTCCACCTCTTGAGCCCCGAGATGTGGCCCGGCTAGCCCCAATAGAAGCTACCGATGTTTGCCCCCTCGGATTGTTTCTTGTCGGCATACGTCTACCTTCCATTTCTGAAAAGGAATTTGAACGAGTCATTAGACTCCAATCAAAGTCAACTGACGGAAATGTTATAGACACGTATTGTCCCAAGTCACCGCCATACCAATTGTTAAGAGTACCATCTTAACAACTAGAGACCTTTCAACCTAGGTAACAATCGTTCCATAAACGCCAAAATACAATGCTCATGGTTTTCGGTAAACCTCTTTTGTAAAATCTCTTGTGAGAGGTTGTTTACATAGTTTAGAAACTGAGATGTCTCTGATACCACTTAATTGTCACGCCCCAGACCGCATCTAAGCGCGTGTACAACCAGCGTATGACCAAGCGACGTCACTCGCAAGTCAACGTGTCTTAATCATACAAGGCGTCCATGAACATAATACATCCATACTCAGTAGTAAACATACATAACAACATCACAGTTTAGATTAATTGAATAGCGGAAATATTCAATAATCAATCGTGGGCCACACATGGCCAAAACGTAGGCGCGCATGCTAAAAACAATGTAATAATACAAAAGTATCCATGAGCATAGTTTATCGTTTGAAATAGTAAAGAAAGCACGAACCACGTCTTCCTCTAGATTCTCTTCACCCGTGCAAAGGTGTAGATGACAAGCCTTAGCTTCAACCTGAAATGGTGGCCCCCCTGAAAGGGTCAGTACAAGTACCGAGCGAGTAGCAAGCCAAATGTAGGATAAATAACGTTTCAAGTATAAGCCCAAATATAGGGTGATACATATACGTGTGATCCTTCCCCCCAAGTTATGAAATACACATCAGTATTTATACACTTAGAAATACCCGACCCGTAGGGCATTGTTTATTTGGGAAAATAGTAGTGGCCAATATCCTTGATCCAAATCCCAACCCACCCATATACCTATGTGTGTATAGGACTCCTCCTGGTCCAAATCAATTATCATAAGGACTTCACTTAGTCTATAATTCACAATTTATCATCTATGAGTTTTGAGGCCGCTTTAGTCCTTGGGTCCTCCACCATGAGTTTTGAGGACATTTGAGTCCTTGGGTCCTCCACCGTTTTACCTATGAGTTTTGAGGACATTATAGTCCTTGGGTCCTCCACCATGAGTTTTGAGGACATTTTAGTCCTTGGGTCCTTCACCATTTTACCTATGAGTTTTGAGGACATTATAGTCCTTGGGTCCTCCACCATGAGTTTTGAGGACATTTTAGTCCTTGGGTCCTCCACCATATTCGTATGAGTTTTGAGGACATTATAGTCCTTGGGTCCTCCACCGTATTCATATATACATCCCTATGATCTACCACCTATCACACATGGATAGGGTCCCCATCATAGTCGTTTATCAACATTAAACCAAGTCTTAAGGTCTAAGCAAAATCATCCTTGCAATTCATGCATTAAAATTTACATATAGGCCAAATAAGGCCAAACTGGCGCCGGTTCAATCTGACCGGCGCCGGTTCACACTCAAATAATATGAACCCGGCTGAACCGTGTTCGACCGGCGCCGGTTCTACACATGACCGGCGCCGGTTACCCCCTGAGCAACCGGGCAACTCTTTGTTGACCCGTCATTTTAATTTCAATTCATGTCAAACTTAATCACAACATGTATTAAGTTATAAACAACCATCATATGCACATTTTATCTCCAAACATATCACATATGTTTTTATAAACATTTCCATATCACAATTCATGCATATTTCCATAGTTCATTTCATACAAGCCTAATCACTTGGCTAATCACATGTTTAATCTCTTTTAAACATCATTATGAACACATATAACATTTACTTAGGTAATCTCATGCTTAACCCAAAAGTTACAAGACATAAAGCCATCCACTCACCTCAAATGAGCTTTAAGAAGTTCTACTCTTCTTAGTTGAACTCCGGCGAAATTCCTACGAACTCCGGCAAAACTCCGACGAACTCTAGATTCCCTTTAGTCAAGTTCCTTAATTCTTCACATTTTCCCTAACTTTTTCCTTCTTTAATCACTCCTCTTTGGACCTTCTTCCTTGAGCTCGAGTTCAGTTATGGAGAATGGGTATTTTGAGAGTTTCTCCTCTCAAAATGATAGGTTTGGGCGAGCTAGATGCTTGGGGTGAGAGAGAGTGGTTGATTTTGTCTCAAATGACAAAATGTGTGATGGGAGGGAGGTGCTCCATGTATCTTTGATGCCAAATGCTCCTCCTCCACATCTTCCTTTGTCAAATTAGTCCCTCACATTAATTTGGGAACCCAAAAACGTGGGGTGGCCCCCACTCACGTGGGAGGTCATCCCATTATGTCCTGATGTGTACAATCGGCCCGAAAATTGTATTTTTCGGACTGTTTTAACTATATTTTATTGTATCGGATCAAATAAAATATATTAAGTGTCCTGAATCATCATGGACCTATAGAATAAATAGTACATTCTTCAACTTAAATTTAGAAGACTCCGAAACACATTTCGGTTTGTTATCCGATAAATTGCCAATACGGGAAATTGGGCCTCGTTTAACCAACGGGTCAACTCTATGTCTTTTCCATGGTCCAAATAAAATATTCACCACCATATACATATTATCTAGACAAAGATGAATATAATATGTGGTCCCGGGATTATCGGGTGGCCCCCGCTCCCGATGTGGGCCCCACGTGCAATTCACTGTTCACGCGAAAGTAAAAACAAAAATTTACAACCTCGTAAATTCATGATCATTATTCAAGGTTAATTACATGATTTACTAAAAGTAAATATACTTGGGGACGGTGTTACAAGTCCGTTCATGGTTGTTTGCTACTTTATCATGTGATATATTTATTGAAGTTCACACTTTAAAATAATTTGTTACCATCTAGGAACATCAGGAATCCCGTTTTATGGCTGCCAGTTTGGCTTGTTCCATGGAATTAAAGCGGTTTTGATCTAATTCTAAAAGATAGAAAATCAAAGCATGGATCAATACATGAGTGAAATTCAGAAAATACGTGATACCCTTGCTGCAATTAATTCTTATGTGTCATCGAAAGATCTCCTTGAGCAGTCACTGTTTGGTCTTAGTCCTTAAATATGAGTCCATGATCACTAATTTGACCACATTCCCCGAGGGTCTCACTTTAGTTACGAATCAAGTTGGTTCAATAAAAGCAGCGCATATTGTATTTACGCTCTCAGGAGTCTACATCATCTTCTGCGGCTTTTGCAGCACAACCTATGGTTCCATCTGGACAAGGGAATGACACGTGAGGGGGCTATCATTAAGCTCAAGGACATGGATGAGGCGGTCAACGCGGTCATGGAAATCGTGGACGAGGCAGGGGCTCGGGTCCGTATTAGGGGTATGCTGCCCCACCTCCTCCTTACTACCAGCCGCAGGCGGGACAACCGGCAATAGGCTACTACCAGCTTGCTTATTTTCCGGCACCTTCGGCTCGACCACCACAGGGAAGACCAGGTACATCGTCATGTAAAACGGGTTTTTCATCATTTAATATGCATTCCTACCAAACTGTATTGAGCCTTTATTTTTAATTCATTCTAACGTTTGTCAATCTCCTATTATTTCTAATTTTGATTTTAAGTAAAATGTGTATTTTATTAATGATTTTTCTCATTTTACTTGAGTATATCTCACGCATTATAAAATGATATCATTACCAATCAAGAGAGTAACGGTACTTCTCATACAACAAAGTACATCTTAAGACGATATCATACCAATCCATGTATGTGATATTATACCATTGGCGTGATTTCACTTTATTAAGGTGGCACGAGTTTTGGAATCTCAAGCATTGTCTCTGATCATAGATTTTAGTGCCCTTGGGCTGATTCAAGAATATTATTTGATCCTACCGCCGCTTTGCTGACTGAGTCACCGTGATTAACCTCTCCACCATCCTGTCGGGTCAGGGTGGGGGGGGGAGGCTTGGGGTTGGGCATTCAACCTTTTGGACCAAGAATATTATTTGATCCGTGTGGCCTCTATTGGTATGTAAATCCTCCAGTTTTTAATTATCGAGTATGACTTACGTCATTCCTCTTGAAGGACTGTATAAAAACTGGAATGCTTAGATCGTTAAGTTCAGTTGCACGCAGTTGTTCAGTTAAATTACAGTTTTTTGTTGTGATCTACCTAAATAAATTTGTATATGCCGCAAACAAAAAACAATTTTGACGCGAATAATAATTCTCTTCAAATAACGAAAAAAAATGTTTGTACACAGATAATTCGGCCAACTTGTAAAATGACGTGTACGAAAAACGGTTTTTCTTTATCTTCTTTTCACTTTCGCATCCACTTTTTTAATCGTTTTCTTTTCAATTTTTCCTACCAATAAATTTTGTTCCAAAATTTCCTTTACTCTTTCGTCTCTCCTTTTGCTACAAATGTTTTGTTACTGTTTCACTCCTATTCTATTTTATCGTTATCACTAGCTATTTTTTTTTCAATTATCCCCAATAATGTACAATACATGTGTGCAATATTCAATTTATACACACTTGATATGATTTGCATTTGAACCTAACTTATCGATTACCAGGAGTATGTATCACATTATATACTCTCTCCGTCCCGCTAACAATGAGACAAGAGGGAGTGACACACAAATCAATAAAAAGTGGTTTATGTGGTTGATATTGAATTGATAAAGTAAGAATGAAGTAAGAATGATTTAGAGCCACACAAACTTTACCAAATTTGATATGAGATAATTTTAATGGGACGGACCGATAAGGTAAAATGAGACAATCATAGCGGGACAGAGGTAGTATATAATACTTCCTCCGATCCCAAAACAATTTTACAGTTTCCTTTTTGGATAGGTTCAAAATAAACTTCACATTTCTATTTTTGGCAACTTTTCAATATAAAATTATCCTTACACCCTTACTTTATTACCTACTTTACATTCATTTTCTCTCTCCCACTATATTTTTTCTACTTTATTAGAGACATAATAGGACACTCAAAACAAAAAATTCCACTATCTTAAAAACTGTGAAGTCAAACCATGAACTTCTTTTGGAACCGGAGCGAGTAATATACTAGAACCGGTGTGTAATATTCATTTTATACACACTTGATATGATTTACATTTGAACCAAACTTATCCATTACCGGGAGTATCTATCATACTCCCTCCGTCCCAAAAACAACTTCACACTTCGTTTTTCACACATATTAAGGAAATAAACTTACTGGGGGTAAATTTTACTGTTTTGACACTGTTTGGACACTGTTTGGCGATGTTTGGCACTGTTTTGATGTAGATAATTTGTTAAATAAGAAAGTTGGAAGAAGTGTAAAGTTAATTTTGGGACATCCATTTAAGGAAAATGAGAATTATTTTTGGGGCGTACGTAGTGAGTATTATATACTCGTACTACGTATAATATACCAGAACCAATTTCAAACATCGTCTACCATAAATCCATAATCAAAACTCACTTTACACCAATCTATAAATTCAAGAACAAAACTTCATTTACACCACAAACTGACCATTTGCTATTATACTTGTCATTAATTATTAATTAGTTTCATTGATTATATATTATTATTATTATTATTATTTGGAATAACTAGTATTATTGTCATTATTATTTGGAATAACTAGTATTATATATTATTATTATTATTATTATTATTATTATTATTACTATTATTTGGATAATTAGTATTATTGTCGTTGTTAATTGATGCACACAAAAACTAGCCAGTATATATTTTGAATATATTTCCGCGACAGACAAATCCATTTACACCATGTTCGTATTTGTATATATTTTGAATTTTAAATTGTAGATCCTATCAATTATGAAAGCGCATGCAATATTTTTACTGCTTTTATTTTGACTTTGGAATTAATAAGTTTTTTAGAAATACATATATAGTGTAATAGGTTCTATTTGTAAAGTTTATACAACTTGTTTTTAAATAAATGCATCATGTTGAATTTTACATTATGCACATGTTCCGTTTTGACTACGTTTTATTTACTAATGTAATAATAAATTCATTTAAAAAATAATATTTAATTTGTCTCATCGTGAATTTTCAAAATCTGATTTTTTTATTAATAGAGAACTAAATATATTATTGGTCAAAGGTTTTTTTGGGCAAATATTGGTCAAATTTATTCATCGGTAAACATGAAAATAGGACCGTTGCACCTATTTAAAAACATGTGTAGTAAGTTAATATCTGGGGTTGCATCCTAAATGATCAACCTCATAGGAGAAGTAACACAGATCTTAATATAACATTTTATAACATCACAATTTCCCGGTGTGGAACTTTAACACACCTCTTCACGATCAAACATTTTGTTCGGATCATGTCGTAATTTATTTTTTCCATCGGTTCGTAACTGTTATTTTTTTAATCATCGTCATTTTTTCATAGGCCCCCTGATGGTTATGGGTCGATTTGGCCCTGATACAATGTTAAGATATGAGGTTCCACCCTAAAAGATCAACTTGATAGGAGTACTAGCCCAAATCTTTATATAGATTTTATTATTTCACTACTTTTCAGTGTGTGAATTTAAAACCATTCCTCACGACCAAACACTTCATCCGGATCGTAATGTCATTTATTTTTTTCATTAGCTCATCATTATCAATTTTTTTATAATCATTATCATTGGAAAAGGTACAATATACCTTTCTAATATGGGTGCAGGAACAAATATACCTCTGTTCTATTTTTTGAAACAAATATACCCTCGAAGTTTATGTGAAAGTGCATAGATGTCCCTTAACTTTGAAAAGGTGCAAAAATACCCCTCATGTTCCTATATGAGCAAATTTACCCTTATTGAGTTTAAATATAGGCTAAAGGGTCAAATAGGCCCCTGAACGTATACGAATTGCTCAATTGGCACCCCAAACCCAAAAAAGCTCCGATCCAACCCACCAACCAAATTAAAAACTTCAATCCCCCCATCCAACCGGTTACCTCCCGGTTGTCCCCCTTACGCCTGTGAACAGTACTTCGCACCAAAAGTTATCACCAAGGGTCACCGGAGCCGCCGTCGTCGTTCGCACCGCCGTGAACCCTCCGGTAAGGCCACCTGCACCAAGTGGTGCTCTCTAAAGCGCCCCAGGTCTCGCCGCTCCATTTCCGGAGAAACGCCGCCGGCCGTAGCGATGCTCGTGGCTCGTCGTTGGCTCCTCCAGCCGCCACACCGCCGTTCTTCATCAGCGGCCAACCAGTGACCACTCATCCATCTGGTCCGATGTCATGGGAACCCCCACCGACTGAGAGCTCTCTGATTTCCGCCATTAATGGTAGCTTGGAGCTCTCTGATAACCACCGACCTTCCAGTTTCCGGTTGAAAGGGGGACAACCGGGAGGTAACCGGTTGTATGGGGGGATTGAAGTTTTTAATTTGGTTGGTGGGTTGGATCGGAGTTTTTTTGGGTTTGGGGTGCCAATTGAGAATTTCGTATACATTCAGGGGCCTATTTGACCCTTTAGCCTTAAATATATAAAATAAATTAAAAAACACCACAAATAAATTATAAATTCAGAATTGAAAATGAAAATAAAAATATAAAACTATTTTGTCCAATTCTCCCTTTTATTATTTTTATATCACAATTTATTATTGTTAGTATAAAATATTATTTCAAAACTTTACTATATATTTAAGATTCTTTTGAAAAAGTGTTAATTTTATGTATTCTTTGAACTATAAAATTACATATTCTGTATGATGATATATAGTCCAAGATAACAAAACAGTGAATTTAATTTTATTAAGTTTAAACAAAATCAAAAAATGTTATTTCAAAAAATGTAACAGTATGTTTAAAATTTCACAACAAGACTAAAATTAATATTTATGAATTTAAGTGCTTCATTTACATTGGAAAAATAGTAATTTTGCAATTTAAAATTAAAGAGTTAATATTTTAACATAAAAATAAATCTATATTTTAAAATTTTTAATTTTTTATTTTTCAATTTTGAATTTATAATGTAGTTTTAGTGTTTTCAAAATTTATTTTATTTATTTAAATCAATAACAATAAATTTGCACCTTTGTAGGAACATGAAGGGTATTTTTGCACATTTTAAAAGTTTAGGGGTATATATGTACCTCCACATAAACTTCAGAAGTATTTATATTCCAAAATATAGAACAAAGGTATATTTGTTCTCACACCAATATTAGAAGGGTATATTTGTACATTTTCCCTTTTATCGTAAGAAACCTACACCATGGTTATATTCTTTTTTTTAGAGAAAAGGTGCAAATAAACCCTCAAATTAACCGCAAAAGTGCAAACCATCCCTTTTATAGGAGACTCTGTCCAGCCGTCGCCATTTGGGAAGGTTCCCGGTGGAATTTGTTGATGATTTTTTTTGAGCATCTTCTTCATTAAGTCTAGTTTACCCATACCAAAATTCAGCTAAAAATTCAACCGGGAAGACAGTCAAATAATTTTCTGAAATATACTGCGCTATTTAACTGCACAGTTATCTTCCAACAATTATTTGACTGCCTTACCAGTTGCATTTTTAGCTGAAATTTGGTATGAGTAAACTAGACTTAATGAAAAAAATGCTCAAATGACAACAGCCGGATAGAAACTCCTATAAAAGGAGTGATATGCACTTTTTAAGTTAATTCGATGGCTTATTTGCCCTTTTATTATAAAAGAAACACAAGTAGTATACTCACGTGTTTAGTGCAAAACTCTAAGATCCACTTCTAGCTATCTCTTCGCATCATGGTTGGCGGCAGCTGTCCACTCAATTTGGAGTGAAACAGAAGTATAAATGATATCATTTCGTTATATAAATAAAATAAACTTACCGAACAAGCTAAGCTAGACTCACAATCGTGTACGTGCTCACATGTTCATCTCATTTATACGGAGTACATCTTAGAATTTTTCATCACATAAAATGTTAAATGAAAATATATACTTTTATTCCAAAAAAACATGCAAAATATGTTTACCCCAACTATTGTATCATTTTTAATCAAATGACATTTTTTAGTAAAAACCAAAAACCGAAACCCACACATACTCATACTATTCAAGACATATTTATTCTTTCTCTTTTTTATTTTACTTTATTTTATTTATTCTAGCATGCTTGCATTATTCTTTTATGCAATATATTTGTTTCCCTCTACTATTGTATCATTATAAATCAAATGACATTTTTTAGTAAACAACAAAAAAACCGAAACCGAACCGAAACAAACTGAACCAATCCTAAGTGATAGACAAAGATGTTCAATTCATAAGGACATTGCCTTGAATTGTTTTGGAATTTCAAAATAAAAGCATTGTATTTTTATTTTAGGATAATTGTTTTGGAATAATAATATTGAATTTCAGGAAATTTTGAAAGCTGACATGGATTCTGAAGTCTGGGAGAAAGCTGACTGCTGGAATGCTAGGATGGTAAGGGAATTAGTTTGGAGCCTTTTAAAGCTAGGTGCCTTATTTAAATTTGGAAATCTCCATAAATTGTGGCATTGTCAGAATCCACAATTTATGGCTCTCTGGTATGTGAATATCTTTTAATTGACATATGACTTGAACTACTCCCTCTTAGCCGAGTCTACTACTCGACTAAGGGAGTGGGGGACTCGTGATGGGGTTATGGGACGAGGCCCAGAGCCTAATCGGCCCAAACTCCGAACTTTGACCAGTAGGCCCAAGCCCGACGGTCCAGAGCTCGAGTCAACCCAACCGATCAGGCCCATCAAGGAGCGGAAGCCCAAGATGGCCTGCCTTCCAGTCCGCCTCCACCCCAGCTGGGAGCCTGCCTAGCAGCCTGCCTTCCAGCCCAGTCAGGAGCCTGCCTCCACCCCAGCAGGGAGCCTGTCCTCCAGCCCAGCGGAAGCCTGTCGTTCGAGGAGCTCAAGAGTTCTGCCTGTCATCCAGCCACGAAGAGTAACGGGCAACAATCAATGCGCTATTAATTATGTATTTAATTTCGTAGTAAGGTTATAATTAATTTAGTCATTATTATGTTCGGCAGTTACCATTTGTAATCGCATATAAAAGGCAATTCGAATTTCAAATACAGATATGCTATTTCTGGCAACTAAACACCTCTTGATTTACTTTCCTTATTCGTATTGCTTTCTTGATTTTCTGTTTGAGTGTCGTAAGTAGCTTTCTTAAAAGCCAACGAGCGTTCTATTTTGGACCAACACATTCAATTCGATATATTATGGCCCCCATAATACATTACGGGTTAAAAGTTATGGCTTTGTAAAATCAGCACTATCTAAACGTAAAATCATCAAAATTTGATGCGTAATATTGATTATTTTCCCAAATTTTAAAAATAGCTTATAATTAATTTATTACTTACGTGACATGACTTAGAGACAGAGCAAAAACAATCTATCTTATTGCTACGAGTGTCTATTTATCTGAACTACATATGAAACATTCGACTCAAACATTGTCTAAAAATGATACATCGTTTTCATTTTGTATATAGTTTATTTTTGACCCCTCTGGACCATTTTTCTGGCTCCGTCACTGTTGTTTTATTTTGATAGTAGGGAAAATTTGACCTTGCACCTCACTTTTTGGATAATATTGGACTTTGCATCTCATTTTAGAAAAACTTTTACTTTGCACCTTATCATATAACATTTCATGAAGAATATTTTTTGAATGAGATGCAAAGAAATGATTTTTAAGTAAAATGAGTGCAAAGTTAAAGTTTTTTTTAAATGAGTTGCAAAGTTCAATATCACCTAAAAAGTTGGGTTCGTCAAATTGGGTTGATAGTATGTCATCTCTACACAAAAAGAATTCAATTTCCAATTGGATTTTGGCTACACTGACGGGTATCCAAAAACCCTTACCCCATAGAAAAAGGAAGTTGTACACAAAAATGTATAAAAAATGTAGATTTGTTGTGAACAACAAGATTGACTCTATCCCACTGTTTTGTTAGTTATTACGTGTTCTGGCCACATTACATCAATGATGGGCCCAATTGAGTGGGTCCATAGACTCAAAGTGCAATCGGATTGGGCCTAGTTGTTTCCATCCCAAAAAGAGACCCACTGTTTTGGACCGGGATAAGCATGAGTTGGAGAATTAAAAAAGAATCCCCCCCTCCAGCCTAGAACTTGGCTAACACCCAAAGGGCCACTTAAAGGAATGGTTGATCCATGCATACAGTGATCAAGGCCACTTCTGGTGACTGGTGCCAGCCAAACCATTTATGTGTGATCACAAACTTTATCACATGATTTTATATGGTTTATTTATGGTGAATGGTTCCCTCTATTGCCAGCCAAACCTATATTTTCAAAGACAAACTTTCAATTGTTTTTTGCTTTGGTTTATTTATACCATATAATAATGTAGCAAAATTATATGAACAATTTTGCCACATTCTCTTTTTATCAATTAATTTATGGTTCCAATTATCCCTTTTTATCAAACAATTTCTATCCTCAAATAAATATGGTGTAAAAATATGAAAGAGAAGATAAAAGTAGAAAAAAACAAGAACAATTGAGTTTTTTTAAAGGAAAAATTATCAAAAAGGAACTGTAATAAACTTTTAATACACCTTAGAAATGAAAATGTAGCAAATTTTGAAATAGGGATGAATTATTATTTTCATGCAATTCAACTTTGTTCAAGTTTAAACTTTAAAGTCTGTACAGACATAAAAAAAACTTTACACAGACATGTGTAAAAAGTGTGTACACAAAAAGTGTGTACCCAAGTCGTATAGCTCTTTTTTAAATGATTACTCCGTAGAACTAAAGAAGATGGTTAAAACATCATATCGCTCTCATCCTCACAGTTGTTACGTGTTTAAGTAGATTTCGGAGCAAAACTCGGGCACCAAGAACAGATTGCAGGTCAACCTCAGGTTGACAGCCCAATCAAGAAAAAGAAAAAGAGAAGATCTTGAAAGGACAGGAATTTTAGCTCCAAAAAAAAAACGGGAAAAAATCAAGAAAACAATTCGGCACTCTAAAACAAAAAGACACAGTCTTTGGTTTATCCTGTGGTTCCTCCCGTCACTTTTGCTTTCCTGCCAAATCTATTATTCGTTCTCTTCTGTTAGGATTATCCAACGCCCATTCCAGGAAAAATCAAGGGAGCGAGTGAAGACGCCCGGTTTCATCAAATCAATCAAATTAATTGCACAGGAGTGGGCACCTTTTTTTTCTTATTCTTGGTATTGGAGCCTGATGATTATTTGTTGACAATTTGTTTGTTGTTTCCTGCCAATGTAACAGCGCATCTGTTTGTCAAATCTTCCCCAGCCGAGACAGACATGCTCTTCGTTTATTGTGTTTGATTCTTTGTTCATAACCGCTGGGTGAGGAGAGGGTGTTTGTTGAAATGCTTGGGGGTTTTGTTCTGAAGCTCTCATTGGGTGATAAGAAAATGAAGATTGATCTGGGTTAAGAACACAAACAAAACAAAAATAGGAAAGGGGAAGAGAGGGTGGTTAGAAATAGGAAAGAGAGTAGAGGAGCTTGGGCGGGGCGGAGAGAATGAGCAAAGAATTCAGTGGCATTGTGAAGGCCTGGGAATTGACGTTAAGGAAATCACAAGCAGCAGCAAAGAAAAGGGCAAACGGCATTTTTTCCACAATGTCGGTGGCCCATGTGGACGATGACCTTGATGCTCCTGGGGAAGTCTACCATGTTGAGAAAATCTTCTCACATGGAGATATGTACACAGGACAGTGGTCTGAGAACTGCCCTAACGGACACGGAAAGTACTTGTGGTCGGACGGGTGCATGTACGTTGGGGATTGGGTCAGCGGGAAGACGACGGGCAGGGGAAAGTTCAGCTGGCCGTCTGGAGCCACATATGAGGGCCAATTCAAGAATGGGTACATGGACGGAGAGGGCCTCTTCACTGGCTGTTCCAATGACACCTACAAAGGATCATGGGTTTTCAACATGAAACATGGCAGGGGCTCAAGGAATTATGCCAATGGGGATTATTATGGTGGAGAATGGCGCCGGGGGGTGCCTGATGGGCAGGGAAGGTACCAATGGAGCAATGGGAACCAGTACATCGGGCAATGGAAGAATGGGAAGATGAACGGGCAAGGGACAATGATGTGGGCAAACGGGAATAAATACGATGGGTGTTGGGAAGAAGGAGAGCCTAAAGGGAATGGAACCTTTCGGTGGGAGGACGGAAGTTTCTATGTGGGTGTCTGGAGTAAGGACCCCACGGAACAGGCGGGAACGTTTTACACTCCAGACTCACAAACCGCCACTCCTCCTGATTGGGACCCTCAACAATTGTATTCAGCTCTCATGGAGGAGTGTACTGTTAGTTCTGGGGAAGAGATATGTGGGTGTCCTTCAGAAAAGATGATAAGCTGGCCTTGTGAAGGGGAGTTCCTGCAGAAACAGCACATTGGCAAGGTTCATAAGACTAAGTCGAAGCCTAGACGGAGGTCTGTGGATGGGAGGCTCAGTGACGGAGAGGGAATTAGTTTGGACACTGACACTGATGCGCGCTCTGATATATTTAATGGACATTTTGGATCACAGAGAAGCGAAGGGCTTGAAAGTTATGATTCAGATGCTTCTAGAGGATTCAGAAGCCATTGCATCAAAATCCAACCAGCAAAGACTCAAGGAGACACAATATCGAAAGGACATAAGAATTATGATCTTATGCTCAACTTGCAGCTTGGAATAAGGTACTTCCTCAAGTTTTTGAATTTCTCATTTCACTGCCTGGTTGGCTCTTGATCCCTTTGATTGTGCTTCTTTACATTTGCACCTTTTCTGTCTGTTTTTTCTCTGCATTAATTAAGCTATGGTTATACAATTCTGACATGCTAATTTGTAGAAATTCTTGGCTTCCAGAAGCGATTCCTGTCTTGTCCAAAATCATTGTATTTAGAGTTTTAGGAGAGAAGTATCAACCTCTAGTGCAAAGAGCTGTTCAGTAAGTAACAATAATTACAGATGCATTGAAGTCTTGTATTGTTTCCTGGAACAATGAATTTAAGAATTCATATTAATGTGTGTGATTGCTTGATTAACACAAACCTACCATTTCTCATTCTGGCGAAGAAGGTTGTACAGTCCACTTTAAAGATTCTAGGTACTAGTTACATTCTTGAATGTAGTTTCACTTTTAAGAAATACAGTTACTTTTCTAAGATGTGTCTCTGAATTGACCCTTACTGGCTACTTAGTTTTTGGATTTTTGTTATAGCCCTTCATTTTTATATTTTTATATTTGTCTTAAGGTCTTATTTCTTTATATGCACAGCGGTTTTCCAATAGCAATCTTCTAATGGATCATGAATATAAAAATGGAAAAATGGAAAAAGCTATAATGATGATGATGGTTTTTGAAATGTGATCTCATTATTACTTTATAAAAAGGTTGTGACAAGAATGACATCTAGCTTAAAATTATGCCACTGTGTATCTTTTTTTGCACGGACGTATAGTATTGATTAATTTTAGAAATATAAAATTTGAACAGACATTTTCATCACCAACCTCAACATAGTTGTGGTTAAAGTTATGATGATGAATGTATGCATCTTTATTTCTTTTTTTGCAAATAGATGTACTTTGTCATTTGCATGGCAGTTATTTAAGATCGCTCTATCTGTGATGTACCTGCTGAGTTTTGTAGTCTTGCTGCAAGCAGCTCATTTATAGAGTGCTGTTACTTAGACATTCTGTAGGAAGGCCTGCTCCGGCTACATCCCTCGATCTGAGAGCTACTGCTTTTGACCCAAGGGAAAAGGTATGGACTAGATTTCCTCCAGAAGGAACAAAGCACACACCCCCTCATCAATCTTGTGATTTTAGATGGAAGGATTACTGCCCACTGGTTTTCAGGTTAGACCTTCATTCAATGCATCTTTAAAACGTATGCATACACCTACTCAATGAGAAGAAACAAAGACCTAGCCGGGGAAAACAAATCTGTTTTTTTTTCAGGACATTAAGAAAGTTGTTTAAGGTGGATCCAGCAGATTACATGATATCCATATGTGGCAATGATGCTCTACGAGAGCTATCTTCCCCTGGGAAAAGTGGAAGCTTTTTTTACTTGACGAATGACGACAAGTACATGATAAAGACCATGAAGAAATCAGAAGTAAAAGTGAGTTATTTCAACTGGATTTGCAATGGAGAAAGATTCATTCAATGCTGTTTCCTTTGCCATGGGAATCTTTTGCACTAATCTATTGTGATTAACTCTTGTAGGTGTTCATACGAATGCTTCCTGCTTACTACAATCATGTTCGCGCCTTTGAGAATACTTTAGTTACCAAGTTTTTTGGCCTTCACTGTGTGAAGATGACTGGGTCTGCGCAAAAGAAGGTACAGTTGGACTGAAAAATTAGATTTTCAACATACAGTGTTTGCAGAGTTAATAAATGATTTCAATGAATAATGGCTGATGAGCAGGTACGGTTTGTTATCATGGGGAATCTGTTCTGTAGTGACTATGCCATTCACAGACGCTATGACCTAAAAGGTTCTTCCCTTGGCCGCTTGACTGATAAACCTGAATCTGAAATTGATTCTACCACCACTCTCAAGGATCTGGATCTCAATTTTGTATTCCGGCTGCCTAAAGTTTGGTATGAAGAGTTCTGCAGGTGAAGTTTTTATACTTTTTTTTTTTAAGTTATCTGATATGATAAAATTGAACTTCATCAGGCTCTCAAGTTTTCCAAATTAGTAACAAAAAGCTGTGAGAATTCTAGAGTAGCAAGTGTTTACTTCTGACTTAATGGGTTTCTAGGACAGTGGGTTAGTCGTTCATCCATTAACCCGTGTTTAAGTTCAATTTAATAGGAAATATCACTTATTTGTTTTGCATGAAATTGACTTAATCATTCAACCCTGATGTATTAATCTTTTCAATGTAGACTTCTATTCAACAAATTCTTTTTTGAAGAAACCATGATAAAGTAGGTGTTTGCTAATTAGTGAGACTACTTAAATGCAAAATCTAGTTATTTTACTGACTCAGATCTTTTATTCAGCGCACAAAGTAAACATCCTCATACACAAAAATTGCTCAAGTCAGACCAGGATCTTAACTATTCAGAACGTAATGGGGAAAAAATATAACAGCACTGAAAATTAATATATATCATTTGGCAGGCAAGTGGACCATGATTGTGATTTCCTTGAACAAGAGAGAATTATGGATTACAGTCTTTTGGTTGGTGTACATTTTAAGGAAATTTCAAATTCTGGAGAACCCATCTCTGCCGATGTTCATAGTTCTAGAGTGGAAACACATGGAGGTTATATCTACTTCTTCTTGAGTCATCAACATTTTTAGGTATATCTAGATAGATGAGCTTACTGCTTTTAATCTTTCTCATAGAAAGTGGGGACTTGGATGGTGAAGGAGCAGCCCCTCAACATTCTAGTGCAGAAGCAGGTTCTTCCTGGTAATAATTAATAAAAAAAAATACCTTCTTGATTTTTTACAGAAGTTGCCAAGATCATGGATATTATCAAAAATCTGAACTGCACATGAATTACTAGTATTTTTAACTGTATGTAATTGAATTTGGTAGGTCCCCACCAGGTAGTTTAGGGATAAACATGGCAGCAAAGGCGGAATTAACGATGAGAAGTGATGAGGTGCTAGTTGGAGAACCAACAGGACAGTACTATGATGTCATTCTTTTCTTTGGTATAATAGATATCCTACAAGACTATGACATCAGCAAGAAGCTTGAGCATGCTTACAAGTCTTTCCAATACGACCCCACCTCGATCTCTGCAGTTGATCCAAAGCAGTACTCCAATCGCTTTCGGAATTTCATACTCAAGGCTTTTGCAGCTGACACTTGAAAGCAAGAAGAAGCTCTGGCATATTTAAAGCCATAGTTATGTCATGTTTAGGTTGAACCTGCTGCTGCATTTGTACATGAAAATAGAATGGAGTTGAGGTTAGGTTTTTGCTTTGTTTTTGTTTTTGTTTTTACTCTATAAATATACTACTTATGTAATTGTAACCCATTCTTTTGCTCCAGGGGTGATGAGTCGATCTTTTCAGGCTTATCACCAGAAACAACTGTATAGAAAGCTTAAGTTAAAGAAGAATTAACACTGATGATGTATTCAAATTTGAGTAAGATATATAATATATGTACATAATTTGAGTTGCGGCTCCTCTCCTCCCTTATGTGCATAATGAGAATGCATGTAATCAAAAATAAAATCTAACAAATATTATGAAAAGCTAGTGTTCATCTATAGCCAACCTTCTAGACCCCCTTTCCTAACATCAAACTACTGTGGTCTGTGTTCTCGATCTAACATTTGTATTGAATGTGAAACAGTTTTGTGCTCCTACTGGCATGTTTGCTTTTACAAAAGACTTAATTTGACTTTGAGAATTAACTCAGGAAATTTCTGGATTATCTTTATCGTCTTTACGTTTTCTATATTTCTTAAAAGTACCAATGATTTATTTATTTGAGGAACTGTGCGTTAGTGTGTGTATTAAGAAGTCATTTTAAAAAATACTAAAAACCCAAGGGTTATCGTAAAAAATATCCCCTTAACTTTTTACCCATGCAATGATAAAAAGTTACAATCAAGTTGGAATTATTTTGAGATAATCGATAGTTGGAATTATTATAAGTGAACCGCTAATAGTTGGGATTATTACAATCAATTTTTCCTAAAGAAATTAGCCATAATAGGACTTAAACATGCTAAAAAACTCATATTAGGACTTACCAAGTTTTCTCTCGTTGATAGGACTTATACGGTCCTATCTTACGTTTTACTACTTTAGGAAATATCCTAAATACCCCTGTTCGAAGTTCGCTGAGATCGTTTACAGGCACCTAAAATTTACCGGCCTTTTTCGGTTATCCAGTTTGAAGCGGTTAAGAGTTTCCGTTTTCTTGTTAGTTTCCTTATCCGAGTAGTTTCCTTGTTCGTCAATTCTGCATCTTTTTCCTGCATTCGTCCATTCTGAGTATGAGGTCATAGCTGCCTGTGTTTCGTTCTTTTCAGGGTATGTTCACTTCAAATTTAAAGCTTTCATAATACTGGCCGTGATTCTGTTTCCGTTCGTCAATTGAGCATTCTTTTTCTGCATTCGTTAATCCTTCTGTGATTCGCTTTTTTCTGCATTCTTTTTCCTGCATTCCTCAATCCTTCTGTTTTTTCCTTCCAGCTCTGTTTTTTTATTCAATTTCATATTATCGATCCTTTCATCATATGATCGCTTTCAAATTCGTTATAATCAACAATTTATTTCGTATGTCGTTGTACTCTGTTTTATTTCATTAAATTTCATCCGCTAGTTTAGATATCAGTTTGTTTCTACAATTTATTTTGTTTTTGTTAAATTCTCTATTCGTCTACCTAAATTATGCCCTTCGAACTGTCATTTTGTTTGTTCGAACTGTCATGTATATGCATTTTTTGATTACTCCTTTTTATGTTCTGTAATTGTATATAATTGGTACACATTCTTATAAACTGTCATATTGTTAACACAACTGTCATAATTTTGTCCAAACTGTCATTTAGTTTGTGCTACGTTCCTACCTGTATATGCATTTTTTGATTTCGCCTTTTTATGTTCTGTCATTCAATGGTACACATCCTTATAAACTGTCATATTGTTAACAAAACTGTCATTATTTTGTCCGAAGTGTCTTTTTTCATACTGAAATATTTCTTTTGGTGCATTTTTTTAGGAACCTTTTTACCACAATGGATCCTATTTTACTTGTTATGGTCAAGGTTGACGGTTTTTGGGATTCTAACAATGTGTTCAACAATGTCCACACATGTGGCCTTCATGTTAACTATAATGTTCAATATGCTTCTTTTATTAACTCTTTGAGTGACATCCTTTCTCAGTACAAAGCTAATCATAATTTCAGGCTTTCTTATATGCGAGATGGATTTCCTCCTCCTGTTACTATAAATGATCAATCTACCTTAACATTTTATCTTTATATCAAGTCTCTTCAACCAGATTTTTCATTGTATCCACTTTGTGTTGAGTTTTATCCTGTTTCATCTTCTCCTGCATTTTCTATTGATGTTGGACCATCTGCTTCTCCTTGGTCTGAAAATGTTGTCATTTCTTCACAACAACATACCCCTTATGATGAGAATGTTGTTGTTTCTTCTTCCCATGCTTCACAACAACATACCACTTATGAGAATGTTGTTGTTTCTTCTGCCCAACAACATTCCTCCTCACCTACACTTTCTTTTGATGATGGCCCACCATTTGGTCAATATGAAAATGTTATGCTATCTGGGGTAAGTTGTGGCCAATCCGAAGATATTGTTTCTTGTGGTAACACTGTGTCTGCAACTGTAGAAAATGAATCATCTGAAGACAATGATGACATGTCAGATGATATGTCAGATGGCCTTTTAACTAAATCATCTGACTCATTCTCATTTCTCCAAAATTTTGAAATCATCACACAGTCCCATCCTACTTGTCTTCTTCTCCATGCTATTTACAAAAATAAAAAAGAACTTATCCACCATCTGAAGATGTATGCTATCACAAACCACTTCCAATACAGAACTAAGACATCCAAGAAAATATGTTTGCATGTTATTTGCTTAGATCCAAAATGTTGTTGGAGTGTTCGAGCTGTAAAACTACATGGCGTAACAATGTTTCAAATCAGAAGGTAACTTCAATTTTCCTTCTTTAATTCACTTCATTGTAAATTCCGGTTTATAAGAATGTCATGTTGTGTTGCCATTCTTATACAGGACTGTCAACTTCATATTATGTATTTGTATACTAATGTCATTTTTCTTTTCAGATTCCGACCAGTTCACACATGCTCTATTGATTACAGACAAGGCAAACATAGACAGGCATCTGCTAGTGTGATAGCAAATATTATTGCACACAAATACCTTGATGCTTCCAATAAACCATACCCCCCAAAGCAAATTCGTGAGGACATGAGTATGCAGTATGGAATTTCCATGTCTTACAACAAAGCTTGGAAAGCACAGAAGAAAGCAATGCAGCTGCAATTTGGTTCTGATCTTGAATCCTATCAGCTTTTGCCTTCAATGGCTTATGTGCTTGAGAAAACAAATCCCGGCTCTATGTTTAATCTAGTCACAGGGAAGGATGATGCATTTTCTACCTTTTTTACGTCATTCAAACCATGGATAGAAGCTTGGCCCTACTGCAGACCTGTTCTTATATTGGATGGTTCTTTCATGAAGGCTTACTATAAAGGCACTCTCCTTACAGCTTGTTGCCAAGATGCCAATGATCACATAGTTCCTATTGCATTTGGTATTTGTGGTTCTGAAACTAAAGCTTCTTGGAAATGGTTCTTATCCAAAGTTTGTCAATCAATAAAGTACAGACATGACCTGTACGTAGTATCTGATAGGCATAAAGGGCTTATCAAGGCCGTTTCTGAACTCTTGCCACATGCTAGCCACGGTTTTTGTGTTGCTCATCTTGGTCGTAACATAACATCAAAATTCAGAGGATCTGCAGCTGGTTTGGGATGGAAGTTCAAAGCTGCCTATATGGCAGCAACTATGAAAGAATATGATGACTACTTATCCATGTTGGATTCTGAAGACCCCAGGATAAGGACTTGGCTAGACAAATTAGGTGCTAACACATGGTCAAAAGTAATGTCTGGCCCAAAGAGATATAATATTATGACATCAAATTGTGCTGAGTCTATGAACAAAGTCAATGTCTGTGCTAGAGAGTATTCTGTGTCTAAACTTGTTGATTTCTTGCGTGAAAGGATGCAGCAATGGTTCACAGAGAGGAAAGATAAAGCTGAGAAAACAAGTACTATACTCACAAAGAAATGTGAGAAATGCCTGGTAGCTTTGCAAGCTGAATCCACACGTATGAAGGTATGTCAAAGCTTATTTTTTGACTTTGAATACCATTAGCCCGTTTTCATTTTTTCATCTCCTTTTATAATTCCACTTTGTTTGTTAATATGTCATTTTGTCTTTATAATTTTGTCATTTTTTGTACTTCATATTCAAATAGTCTTATTAGCGTTTTTATTTATCATTTCTCTTCTACTTAATATTCATATATAAGTTGACATTTTACATACTTCATAACCACATATTACTGCTATATTCTTTTGCTAATTCTCTTTTTTATCTACTTTCATATTCTTATTTTTTTTTATTTCACAGGTTAAACCATCATGTGCATATGAATTTGAAGTTGTTGACAGTAGATGCAAGTCCTTTGTGGTAAACCTCAACTCTAGAAGTTGTACATGCGGCCACTTTCAATTAGATCAATTTGTGTGTGTTCATGCTGTGGCTGCAATCGGTATACGCCCACACCTTTCATGTTATACGTACATATCTCCATATTACACAACAGATGCTTGGCTTGCTACATGGCCTGGTATCATGCATCCTATTGCTGATCCTGACAGTTGGTCAATTCCTGCTACTATTCAAAACCAGAGATGCAAGCCACCAAGTTGTTTGAAGCGTCCTCCTGGTCGCCCTAAGAAATGCAGGATTCCATCCATTGGAGAATATAGAGGTTCAAAACGTCAAAAATGTTCTAGATGCCATGTGCTTGGGCATAATAAGAAAACTTGTAGAAATCCAATTCCAATTAATACCCAGTGATGTAGATTTGTCCACTCATTTTATGTTGTCTTCTGTTTTTTTTGTACTTTTAACAATTCTAATATGTGGTTTGGACTTGGTTATCATTTCGTTGAACGTTTAAGGTTTTGTGCTTTAGCCATTCTTGGCATTTAAGTGTTTATGACTTGTGCTTTATCCAAATGTTTTATCCCAAATGTCATCTCACTAATGTAATGTCATTTTGTTTATGTATAAATGACATATGTGACATTTTATGGCATTTTGTATTCCACAAAATGTCATGTTACTTGTCAATTTGTTGTCATTTATTTACTACATGTAAATGACATTCAATCCTAGTATCCATCTACATGTTACTATAAAAAATGCTCTAGATAAACTTGCCAAGGGGACGTACGTCCCTTTAACAGATAGATTTTTTGAACGTAATTTAATAAAATGCATTGTCACAATGCATTGTCATAAAACATATTTCATACGCTTTAGCCATTCTTGGCATTTAAGTGTTTATGACTTGTGCTTTATCCAAATGTTTTATCCCAAATGTCATCTCACTAATGTAATGTCATTTTGTTTATGTATAAATGACATATGTGACATTTTATGGCATTTTGTATTCCACAAAATGTCATGTTACTTGTCAATTTGTTGTCATTTATTTACTACATGTAAATGACATTCAATCCTAGTATCCATCTACATGTTACTATAAAAAATGCTCTAGATAAACTGGGCAAGGGGACGTACGTCCCTCTAACAGATAAATTTCAAAGTTGATGTCATTTTGTTTTCTAAAAACTGTCATCCAAATGTCATTTATCACGGATTTTCTTCATGTAAAAATCCGTGCTTACATAAATATAAGTACCCTGTGTAATGCATTAACACAAAGTCATCTTTAATGTAAAAATCAAACAGATTTTTTGAACATAATTCAATAAAATGCATTGTCACAATGCATTGTCATAAAGCATATTTCATACATTCAAAACACAATGAAAGTTGCTTTAACCAAGTTTTTCAAAACGAATGTACTAGATTCTGCATATTACACTGTTTTGAATATGAAATCTGATGACACTGTCATCTGCATTTCCATTAACTTCAGTGACATAGTTTCCAACAAATCCTAACAGTAGTTGTCCACTATTCCAAGACATATCTTCAATTTTTAACATCCAACCAAATATGGTGTTACTGAAATCAGTCAGTTCCTCAGTGCTAAGACATGTCCTTATTCTTTTAAGAACTTCAGCAACATTGCAGTAAGAATTGACACGCAAGTTTTCCAAGTCCACTAACACTGACTTCTTGAAAGCTCTTGTTATTGTCTGTCAAGTTCACACAAATATAGGCATTATAATCAATTTGTAAAATATTTTGTCATTCAAGTCAAGATATTCATAAATAACATGGTAATATTAACTACTTAAGTCATTAGTTTGCCAGTTTCATACTTTCCCATAAATTGTGATAATTCTTGCAATTTCACTTTTCATTCAGAATGCCACCATATTCTTCTCTATTTTGCATTATGTTGTTTTATAACAACATCACAAACTACAAATGATCTGCTAAATTCTCACTAAAATGTCACTATTCCAAGCAAACTGTCATCACAGTAATGATACATACTTACAACCCCACTAGATAACCACATATTAGTGGAATGTCACTTTTCATACAAAATGTCACCATATACTTCTTTATTTTGCACTATTTTGTTGTATAACAACATCACAAACTACAAATGATCTGCTAAATTCTCACTAAAATGTCATTTATGTGTCAGACTTTCAATTGCCAATTCAATGTTGTGTTAATTTCTGTTCAATCTAAGACATATTCAAAAAATGTCACTATTTCAAGCAAACTGTCATCACAGTAATGATACATACTTACAACCCCACTACATAACCACATATTAGTGGAATGTCACTTTTCATACAAAATGCCACCATATACTTCTTTATTTTGCACTATTTTGTTGTATAACAACATCACAAACTACAAATGATCTGCTAAATTCTCACTAAAATGTCATTTATGTGTCAGACTTTCAATTGCCATTTCAATGTTGTGTTAATTTCTGTTCAATCTAAGACATATTCATAAAATGTCACTATTTCAAGCAAACTGTCATCACAGTAATGATACATACTTACAACCCCACTAGATAACCACATATTAGTGGAATGTCACTTTTCATACAAAATGCCACCATATACTTCTTTATTTTGCACTATTTTGTTGTATAACAACATCACAAACTAAAAATGATCTGCTAAATTCAGACTAAAATGTCATTTATGTGTCAGACTTTCAATTGCCAATTCAATGTTGTGTTAATTTCGGTTCAATCTAAGACATATTCATAAAATGTCACTATTTCAAGCAAACTGTCATCACAGTAATGATACAAACTTACAACCCCACTAGATAACCACATATTAGTGGAATGTCACTTTTCATACAAAATGCCACCATATACTTCTTTATTTTGCACTATTTTGTTGTATAACAACATCACAAACTAAAAATGATCTGCTAAATTCAGACTAAACTGTCATTTATGTGTCAGACTTTCAATTGCCAATTCAATGTTGTGTTAATTTCGGTTCAATCTAAGACATATTCATAAAATGTCACTATTTCAAGCAAACTGTCATCACAGTAATGATACAAACTTACAACCCCACTACATAACCACATATTATTGGAATGTCACTTTTCATACAAAATGTAACCATAGTCTTCATACACACTTAAAATGCCACCATATAAGAACATGATGCAATGAAATGTTTTTACATTCAAACGATTTAAACTTTCTAAACTCCTTTAACTGTCAAACTTTTGTCAATTTCAGACATTCCTCTACTCAACGAAATTAGTACTTACTATTTCGGAATTGATTCTGACGGAAACTTTGTTTGACAAATCCATAGCTCTGTCCATCAACTCTGCTCAACGATTCTACTCTCCTCAAATTTGAGGGTCGTCTAAGACGAAAGTTTACTACCTCTGTGCTTTGAAGTTTTGAATCGAAGTGCACGTTTGATACTCGTAGAATGACTGGTCTCTTCAATCGCAGCTCTCAACAGTTCCGATACATGTTCATTTAATTTTGAATCTCTTTTTCGGCGGCCATGATCATAATGGATGCTTGAAAACCGGGAATAGCCGGGGGAAAGAAGTAACCGTCAAATAAGGGAAGAGTACGTGTGTATCGTTTAATGAGGTCATTTTTGGCAATTCAGCGCATATTTGGTCCTATGCGAGTCGGGGGAAAAGTGGATGTCCTATTTTTGAAATTTTGATAAGTAATAGTCCTATTTTGTAAAATTTCTCTTTTTCCTAAATCAAAACTTATTGCCAATTTTTACATTTTCCTTGGCTTATTATAACTTGCCAATACAAAATAAACTTCATTGCCAATTTTTAATTATTTTCTAGTCTCCTAAGTTTCAATCTTTTCTCATGAAAAAGTGTCAAACAAATCCTTCTATTATTTTCAATTCAGTACATATACTTGAAAAAGTGTCAAATAACTCTGTGCATTGGTAGAAAACGATCAATGTAACAAATAATTTACTTATACGGGTCACTTGCTAACATGACATTTATTATTCACGTTTCTTTCTTTATTCGTTTTTCTTTTTCTCGTTGTTTACAAGTTCATCTTTTACTACATCTTATCTCTTTCTTTTTATTTTCTTCTCTCTTTATTTTCTCGTCATCCTTTATACCTTCACCCCATGTTACCAGCTTATTTTCTCTTTCTTTTTGTCTTTTCTTTTTTTCTCATTCTCCTGATTTATGCACACATCTTCTATCTGAGCCTCAAATGTGTTTCTCTTTTGATTCTTTTTGTTGGACCGCGGTGATGCGGGTCGCCAATTTGTCAACCTGCCGGTGCAATCAAAATATGGAGCTTGAATGCTTGACTACTACGCAAATATAAAGAAATAAAGTTGTATCTTTGATACTAACTATGGCTTTTGCAATAGTGGTTAGCGCTTAATCATGACATTTTACGTTGAAATTTATTCAAAACCCAAAACAGGAATGCATTTATTCCTTTATTTTTACTTCAATCATATCATCTTTGATGTTATGGATTTGGAGATTGTGAATTTATATTTTTATTTAATACGGAGCACAGTACTACCTTCGTCCCGAATTATAAGACACTTTACGGTTTACGATGTTTGACCGACGATAAAGCAAACGGATCTTTGTCCGCACTCAAATTAGTTTTAGAAAAAAAGAATTACATATTCAGAAACTACATTAAAAGCTTTACAAAGTCGCAAAAACTAGAATCAAATTTGATATATAAAGTAAGAGCTTAAGAGTAATTTGTGTTGACCAAGTGAACAGGAAAAGTATCTTATAAAATGAGACTGAGCGAGTATAATCAATGCTTGAACGGTTGAACCAACTGATCCTCTAGTATTCCTCCTGTAATTGTTATTGTGTTTTGATTAGAATTATTTTAGTTTTTTTTGCCAAGCCTGTAATAGAAAGAAGAGATGAGTAACAGCCGTGTTGACCTGAGGAGGATAAGCCTGTTGTTCAAATCGATGCCAACAATTGAGAGCGGAGTGGTTTGGTTTTCCACAAATTTGGCACATAATATTTGCTCCGAAATTGGGATTACTATTCCCGGAGATGTTGCGGGTTGTCATATTGTTGGTGGTACCCCGAAAAGTATTCTGGCCAAGTCAGTTTGAATTTTGAGAAAAATTGGGCCGCTGGTTTCTGGGCTGACTCCCGGTAGAACCCCGGGCTGAGTTGTTTGTGCGGCTGGGCTGATAATGAGATGGGCCAGGGCCCAATAAAGAAGGTGTATTAGGCTGCCCTGGAGTTCTGCGGGTAGTAAATGTATTCGCCTCCCCCATCGCCACATTATTCGCCGTCACCACGCCAACAGTCGTATCCAGAGCCTCCTTCCGCCGCAGAGTAGCTTCGAACCCGGTGAGCAAGGCGTAGATGTTGCCGAAACTGTTATCTCCACACGTGCGAATGGAGTTTGTGAAGGATTCAAACTCAGGTCGGAGGCCCTCCATGGCTTGAAGGACGAAGTCGTCGTCGTCAACAGGGCGGCCAGCCTTAGCTAATTCATCGGTGAGGGTACGGAGATGATGAAGATACTCACCCACTGCCTTAGATCCATGTCGAGTGTGGCGGAAAACATCCTTCATATTCCGTATTTGAGCTGCTGAACGGGTGCCGTAAAGCTGCTCCAGTGTCTTCCACACCGCAGCAGAGGTACGTGCGGATCCAACCAATGGTTTGCACGCCGAGCTCAGGGAGGAGACAAGGGCATGTCGGAGGAGACGGTCTTGACGATTCCACCGGAGATGGCCTGCAGCTTCACTGGCAGGTGGCGGAACAGCACCATCACTGATGTATTGGTCGAGATGAGAGCCAACCAAGAGGTCAAGCACTTGGTCACGCCATATGAGGTAATTCGTTCCTTCAAGTTTTTCTGGGAAGTGGCTGGGGTTGAGGATGATTAACCCATCTGGAGTGAGGGGGTTGATGACTGCAGTAGAGGAATTTGTAGAAGAAATGGTAGGCTGCCCGTTTGGGGAATTTCTGAGATCCCCTTGCTGAGGGGGGTCGTCTGCCTCCATAGGGGGGGGAGATGGCTGGTTAGAGCTCGTGTGGCTTTGATACCATAATAGAAAGAAGAGAACAAGTGTTTTGAATATATTTATGTGTGTCTAAAACTGATTTACAAGGCTGCTATTTATACATCTCTTAATCATGTATATAAGGTAAATAATAATACTATAGTAAATGCCAAAGATATGTAACTGGTGACTACAATATTGTGTTTTAAAGAATCCTGAAACTGAATTATTTCTTTCCTTCAATAGCCTGGAGAGGGTCAATCTATGGCGGAAAAATGAAAATCCAAGAGACAAAGAAGAAAAGGAAAAAACGAAAGTTACATGTGGTCATGGGGAGTGGGAACTAAGGATGTTTTCTTTTGGATTTTTTTCGATCCCAGATCAGATCAAACTTTCATAGTTATAAAATACACAGAGACAACACATTAACCAGATCAGCAAAAGAAAAACATCCTAATCAATATTTATTAAAAGTGTGATTTTTACTTGCTACATCAGTCATTTTCAGGTTATATGGGTCAAATGATCGTTTATAATGAGTAGCACGATTTATGTAGCACTTTTTCAAATATAAGAGTTTAGGTTTTGAGTTTAGCTTATTTAACCTTTTTTTGAAATATAAATCACATAAGTTTCAAAAAGTAGAAGAGAAATTTTACTCCTATTTGCAAATATCGAACTCTGCTTCTGAACAAATGAAAGATAACTTCACTAATGTAGCCTATGAAAAAGGTAGATAGACGTTTTGGCTTGTAGCCTTGTAGTCAAAAGTATGTTGTTCAAACGGGGGAAACCCCAATCGGTTCCGGTTACTCCCTCCTTTCATATTATATCTTCCATTTCACTTTGGCACACAATTTAAGAAAAATGAGTATTGTGCGGTGGAGAGTTGTGCAGAGGCGAGAAAAATGTGTAAAAAATGTTGTGAATTACAATTTCTTTACCAAAAAGGGAGAGTGGAAATTTAATTGGAACAGATGAAAAAGGAAAGTTGGAAGATATAATAGTAACGGAGAGAATATTATTTAAGTTTACGCCTAAAATTTTAGGTATTTGTTTAGACTTAGAATACATTCGTAGACCGAGTCGACTTATCCGTTTTAAATTTAGAATATTGCTAAAGGTCCTTTTTTTAGTGTTTATATGTTGCAGAGTTAAAACTAATTTTTTTTTGTTGTTTTCTCGATGATTTCGCACACTTTCAATAAAACCTTCTTTTAAAAGGAGTTTTACAATCTTTTCGTTAATATTACTGGATGAGATTAAAATTTACACTTCCTTATTTGGCAAATAAATTTATACCAAAATAGTGTTATAACAGTGCAAAACAGTGTACTCTAGATTAAAATTTACCTCATTAATTTTATTTCCTTAATATGTGTGAAGTCAAAGTATCAAGTTAATTAAGAACCAGAGAGTATATTATTTTCTCAAGCTCACTAAGGATGTTTTTACTTGGACTGTAATTTCTCCCAGACCATACCAGACCAGTTGAGACCAGACCAGCAAATTACAGTCCAAGTAAACACATCCCAACTATCGAGGCCTTCAATTCTACTAACATTAGGAAATGAAGAGGTTGTACGATTAAAAAAGGGAATTTATGTAGTTGTACTTGATAGTTGATATTGAATTAATAAAGTAAGAATAAATTAAGAATATTTTGAAAATTTAAACCACTCAAACTTTACCAAATTTGATATGCAATTATGGAACAACTTTAGTGAAAAGAACCAAAAAGGGACGATAATGAACGATCTTAGCGGAATAGAGGAAGTATTTCTTTCCTTCCAAAATACGCCGTATAATTTACTCACGTGAATTTTTCTTGTTTTTAGGAATTATCATGTCCTGTTTCAGAATAATAATAATAATAAAAACATAATCGATCATATTCACATTTTAGTCATATTCTTTTAGACTAAGATATACTCCTTTGTTTCACATCTGAAATTAATAAGGGTCTACGTAAGTTTTGAAATGATATTACTATTAGAACTGAACTAAAATGAATTGATATACGGAGTACATCCAATCCATCAACAAAACTACAATGGCACATTTAGTAGCCCAATTATATACAAATGTGTGCACAAAAGCAGTTAGAGTGAATAAAAAATAAATCCTGACCATCAACTCCATTATGGAATCTCCAGAAACACACGTAGTAATAAATATGCTAATGCTATGTTGCAGAGGAAGTCCGAACGAAGCTCAGCTGAGCTAGATAATTGTTTTCAGCGAAGTCATGAACTGTGCGATGAAGCCGTGATCCATCACGGCCCTGTTTATCGTGCACTTCATTCAGTAGGCTTCTACATTCATCAGGATCCTAAAAGAAAAATTCCCAAGAGTTCCTTAATTGAAATTCCAATCAAAATTATCATCCAAACCCTTAACAAGTCAATTTACAACAAGAAAGCATTAATATGTCGTTCAATAAATGAAACCATTAATACGACATCTGAAAGCATGGAATTGTACTCCGAAATCATTACCAAGCCTGTTAGTTTTCTAGTTACGATTAAATAAATAAATGAAACCTTAAAGTTCTTATTATTAACATTCAAATTAGAGAATAAATTGTACTTCATATTAAATTAAAAGTACTAATGGTATTAAACCACATTCTGTTTACATCCTCATGCAAATTCCCCACATACCCCCCCCCCCCCCTCATTTCACACAAATCTTCAGCATTGGTCTACCAAACTGGGCTGCACTCTACCCATCAGTTTTTCTGACACACTTGGCAGTTATTCGAATTATCTTTGGCAATTTGCAAAAAGTTCCTACTATTTTGGAATGTTTTGCAAGGTGTAAATGCTCCAAACAAGACCGGCGGTATCCACCTCACTTTTTTATGGTTTTTACTTTTTAGTATTTCCTTCATCCCGAAACTTATAGCCACATTGATTCGGCACATGATTCATGAGAGCAAAAACTGTGTAGTTATATTTCTTTACATGAAAGATGTATTCAGAACCACATATTGCTTCCCATAAAAGGTACTCCTTAAGAGAGCGAAAATTTGGTGCAGATAGAAAGGGAAATAATGAAGATAATTTTGGGATGAGGGACAGTATTTATTTGAGAGTTAAATCTGTTTAATGTTTGTTACAACTTTATAAAGATAGCTCATGTAATCGTTAAATATTATGTTTATGTTATAAACTAGTCAAGAATTAAAAAATGATAGAAAAGTTAGGATAGAATAAAAGGATTCTGTTTTTAGTCATTGAATTAGTTCATATATATTTATATGTGACAAACCCTCTGCTTTTTAGTAGTTGACTAGTTGCTCAGTAATCCTCTTTAGAAGGTTTTTAATACTTGCTCTACCCTCCTAATTTAGCAATATCATTAAATCAAAATACATAATGCTCTTTTTTTCATTTTATTACTCATTTATTTTTTACTTTTTTACTTTTTTACTTTTTCATCTACACTTCTTCCATTCACTACCTGAAATGTATATCTTGAAACCCGTGAAAAACCTACTAAACCATTTACTAACAAATTGGAGTGTTTTTTATTTCAAAGCATTGTTTTAAATTGTGCAATGCCTTGCTGCCTCAAGGAGCGCTTTGGCATTTCCCCCCTATTTACTCTTGACATTCAAAGTAAAATAAATGATGATAGGTATAGAGTGATTAATGGTCAAGCAATGTCATTTTTGTCATTAAGGACTGAGTGTGAACAAAATTTGACGGTGTATCAACCAGCTATTTCTTAGAGCAATGCAATTATGATGGTGTTATGAAATCGATGTTGTTGGAGTCTGAATTTTATTAAACATTTTATTATAATACCTTATGTGAGTTTTAAAATTATTTATAATCAACTTCCAGAGGCGTGTTTTAAAAATATGTATGTTAGGCGTGTTTCAAACAATTTCCATACATTGATTCTGCTACTCCAAGAAGCACTTTGGAGCAATGTCACTTTATGGAGTGTTTGGATGAAATTTGAGAAGCACTTCTAGAGGGCTAAAAAACCAGTTTTATAGAAGCTGAGCAGTACTAGCTTCTGTAAAGCTGCTTCTACTTCTATCACTTTTATATCTAAAATGACCTTAGCCAACAATAAACCCTCTTCATCAAAATTCTTTGCTTGACGTGTTCTCCCCCAGTTTGTGAACCAAATAGGAGCACATTCAATGATTCAATGATTTAATCAAATCCACACCAAGAGAAGGAATCACCTCTCTGCCATTAAGTTGAACAGTTTGGTGTTTATACTGTTCAACAAGAAGATGAAGTTTAAAAAGAGACAATTACAATTTTCTCTAGGCCAAGATAAAGGAGTGAGGTGTTGTAGTAGGCGCATGACGACCAACAGAATCTCACTTAGTCACATCACTTGATATGAATCGAAATATGAATATAGAATCAGAGCAAGTGGATGAAATGGAAGAGTGCATCAGGATTTCTTTGTGATTGAGGTATGCCGATTAGACTGAAGGGTAAATTTTATACAACAATTAACCTACATTAAGGTATGGTGTAGAGTGTTGAGTAATGAAATAATGTCACATTCAAAAGATGAGTGTGACAAAAATACGTATGTTGGAGAGAACGAAATAGAGAACGCATATTCATGTGGACAATTGATCTCTTCTCTCTTTTCTCTCTCTTTTTCTTCCATCTTTTTTCTTCTCTATCTTTCTATGTTCTTATGTTATACTTCCTCCGTTCTTAAATTCTTGCAACATTGTGACTTTTGCACTATTCACAAACCTTACTTTGATCACGATTTTCTACTAATATACATAATCAAATTATTTCGTATAAAATGTTATAAAATTCCTATCAATGTGAATTTCCAAAATATCAACTTTTTATAATGTTTACTAATAAATAATTAAATACAATTACAGTCAAAGTTGTGCGTTCGCAAACGTGAAAGTCAAAGTGTTGCAAGAATTAAAGAACGGAGGATAGTATTTATCTTTTATTTTTCTTATGTTCTTTATCTTTTTATTTTTTATCTTTCTTATGTTCTTATGCTATTTTTATCTTATATTATCTTTATCTAATCCATTTTATCTTACCTTATTTTTTATTTTTCTAATCTTTCTTCTCTTTTTTGACTCTGATACCATGAATTGATTCATGTTAGGTGACCCCAAAATCTTTTGAGAATAAGTCTTGGATGTTGTATTTGGTCTTCAAAAATGTATTGTCCGGTGATGAGTGGATTGCTGAACCGAATTAAGATGATGGAGAAAATGTATTGTCCGGTGATGACTTCGCATTAGTTGTTAATGAAATGGACAATGGATTTAGAGGTTCATAACTTAATATTATACAAAGTATTTCTTTACTCATTTCAATATAATTATTTATACTTGACTTGCATCCCGGTTCATTCTCTTCTTTATGACTTTGTGTGTGTAGGAGTGGAACTTATGAGTGTAACTAGAGAAGATAATGAGGCCCGTGATACGCACGGGAATGGCAATGAGAATGACATCACTTAATGTGGATACTGATTGAATGGACGATAGATTTAGTTTTGAAGATTGATAATTACAATTTGCCAATTTGCAAACTTAAATCCCTTAGCCTTTAATGCTCTTTTGTCTTGGATATTTTAGTGTTTAATGTTCTTTTGACTTTGGTATTTTACAGTTTATGTTATTTTGAGTTGGATATTTTATTGTTATGTTCTCTTTACTTTGTGATTTTGTTTAGCAATTAATTAGAGGCTAATGAGTCGTGAGGCTACCGCCGACCGCCTCGGGGCCCGATTTCGCCATTCAAAACCTTGCAAACAATCTAAATTGATTCTCTATTTCATATAACAAAGTCAATACCAAACACCCCAAACCGAATCACTTTCTCGTACAGCACAAATAGTTTTAATAGAAGCAGAAGCATAATTAGTTCCTAACACTCCCTTAATGTACATTTTAAGATTTACACTCCCACTGCACAATTAGGCTTATACTCAATTTACACCCAATGAACATAAACTCCCTAAACTGTGCAATTCTCAATAACGGACATTGGCTGATATCATACAAATTGTTCTCAAGAAAGCAACAAAAAAGAATACAAACAATACCTCCAAGAAATTGAGCATTTGTTCTTCAATTGAACCACGCATTGTCAAAGTTTCCACATAAATAGGGCGTGTTGCACCCATCCTATGAGCTCGACTAATCACCTGCTCTTCCATACTGGATGGTTTAAAATAAAAACCAATTACATAGATATGTCAGATAGATTATCAAAGATAACCATGCATCTAGTTTAGAGATACGAATGCGATCAAAACATTATAAACTAAATGGACATTTACTTGTATTCATTGTTTGGTTGAGACAAGATAGTGAGAAGAAAGAAAGAGGCGAGACAAAGAAAGAAAAGCTAAATAGGGTAGTGTTTTTTTGAATTGTTTGGTTTTAGAGAGAAAATAAGGCTAAAATACATTTTCCAATTTTTCTTTCACAAGGAGAGAAAAAAAAAGTAACAAGCTACACTATTTCCTCTCTTCTACAATTCTTCCTTCAACCAAACAAAGGACTAAAGGTGACTCCTTGCTCTAATGCTCTCCTACATCTATCATTCCTCACTCTTTCTCCGCTAAATCACCTCTGCCAGAAAAATCAGTGTGGGTTTTAACAAAAAAATGTGATGTGTGCAATCCGAAGTTTTTTCCTCAGTGTGTCACAGTGTCAGATCATTCTGCCAGGTTAACAGGAAGAGAGAGTGAAATCTATCAAGTAAAAAAATCAGAAGAGGTAAAACTTAGATAGTTGATAACTCATACTCCCTCTCTCACATAAAACTTTGCCAAATTTCCATTTCTGACAGTCCCATAAAACTTTCCCAATTATTTCTCCCTTCTCTGCAAAAATATCAACCACATAGTTTTTAATTTATTATTGGGGTTTTTCCCTAAATATTACTACCTCCATCCCCTTAAGAATGGGACAAAGGAGAGTGGTGCGGTTTTTAAGAAAAATAGAGTTATGTAGTTGATAATGAATTGATAAAGTAAGAATAAAGTAAGAATGAATTAGAGCCACACAAATATTACCAAATATGGTATGGGACAAATTTAGTGGGATAGACGGAAAAGGAAAAATGGGACAATTATAGTGGGACGGAGGGAGTACTAGATTGAAGCCAATTTCCAAAAATGTAACTACTTTTAAATATTGACAAAAATATGATTAACAAGGTCATATATTTGGAAAACATGATGTCAATGTAAAAAATTTATGTCACTGCCGCCACGAAACATGTTATTGTGACCGCCAAAAAAAAATCCGACGGACGAGATCGTCCAGCGGCAACATCAGCTCGTCCAACGACGGTGGACTCCAACTCATCTTCTCACAACCGGATAGAAAGAGAAGAAAAAGGAAGAAGTGTGCAGGGCAAAGACGGTGGTGAGGATGACGGCAGCGGAGACGACCATGGTGATCGATGGAAGATGAACAGCGATCGATGGAAGACAAGCAGCGCGCGGTTGATAGAAAACGGCAATGGTAGACGGGGATTGCAGGGTGCCTTGATGCGTTTGCAAATCTAGGAGGGGTGGGTGTGTGATGTGAAAAGATCATTTTTCTGTCTAAATCATTTTAGTCACATTTTTGTCAAATCAAAGTTCATTTGTATTATTTTTTTCATTCTTTCTTTATTATTCCACGCGCAAGTCAAAGTTGGCCAAGTTTTATGGGACGGATGGAGTATTACAAATAAAAAATAGAGAGGGAGTATTGGCAAAGAAAAAACAGTAGTAAAAGTTCGAATTCCAAAGTAGTTTCAAAAAACTGACCTGGGATCCTATCAGTAGTAAATAAAATTCGACACATGACTTTTGGTGCACATATAAGGTTAAATACAAAACTTTGGGAGCACATAGTACCTCTTGTCCCATATTGGTTCCATCACATAAACATGTGATACAAAACTTAGATCAAGACCTAAAGCTGCACTTCCATCCATCAGAAGAGCCAAACAGTTCGGATCATGTTGAAAAGTGGCCAATGATTTTATCTGAATCATACAAAATAAATTTTCATTATTAAACCAACAGATCATTCGCGGAAAACATCGATGTGTAGCCACTGATATTAAATACCTTGTTGGAAGAATGCATTGGACTATACATACTCGCGAACTGAATACCAGCGATTGTTAGCTAATGAAAGAAGAAGAAGAATGTGAAATTAACAAATGATTACTTTAACGAAAAAACATACTGAAGTAGCTAGATCTATAATGCAAAGAACTACCTGTTGTTCGATCACATGTATATGCTCAAGAAATTGAGAAAATATAATGGCTTTCTCTGGAAGAGCCGTGAGAAAATCACTCTTTTGCCCATGCGAAGTCATTCTGATGTTTTGCGAAAATGGGACATGAAGTTTATAAACACTATTGACACCTTCATCCTCAATAGTCTGCACAAGTAGCCTATTAGCTTCTTGAAGTTCCTCTAATTTATGTACAAGATACGCTGCTTTGCTACTAGAAGTTGACTGCCAATCCGGATTCCAATTGTCCTGTAAAAGAACCATAACAACCAGAGACGTGAAGTACTTGGGGATAAGCATGACAGCACAACGAGGGAAAATATAAATACATTAGCTAGATATACTTAAGATAAAAGGGAACGAAAGAAGGAAATGCTTGAACCACAGTAGCTTCAAGTTATCCCACCTGCTTATAAGAAGGTTGTAGCTCAATAAGATCCTTTGGGACAGGCCACTTTGGATTAGGATTTTCAGGACGGGTTAGTATTTCAGGACTCTGCATCTCATATAGATTACTACATCCAGGAAATGTACACTTTTCACTGTCCAGAGAAACACAGTCCAGACACAACAGGTGTCTGCATGGTGTAATGACAGGCAAACGGCACCATACGTTGCACCTAAGTTGGAATAATGTTTGCCAATTATATTGTGGACAAGTCAAAATATTAAATTAATTACACATTGAATCTAAGGATCTAACAGTTACAATGCAAAACATTACCTCATACAGTTACAACCAAATTGAAGGTTAGATTTTACTAAGGCATACTCCTCTGAAACGGGATCCAAACCATTACTGACTAAAATATCCATAGTTTCCTGAATATCTTGACTGGCATCTGTTACTCTAATGTGTCCAGCCACACAACAAGAAAGTCTCACATTTCTTATGGTAGCACTGCGGAATTTCCACTGCTTTGGATTCAGTAAACTCTCAACATGAGAAGGATCATTCCAGTCTGCCAGTAATGTATTCCTCCTTACCGTCTCCACAAGTTCATTGTAACTTCTTGCATGATCTTGAGTAAAACTCAAGAGCATCACTTTCTTGATACAGGGAGGGATGACTAGCAAATCTTTCTTCCTGGCACTAATCATGCATCTGTGCAGTAATTGTAACAAGCGTGTCCTGCCTTCCTCCATCTCTGCCTCAAATGGCATAAGAATGCCAGTTTCCCATGATTTCTGATTATGACCATAAGCTTCATCCTGAAGAAACTTTAGCATTGGATGCAGATGAGAAAGCTGGCTGTTTGGGGTGTTGGGAGTTGGTGTGCCTGTTAATAGCCAACGATTCGCAGCCCTTAGAGCAACTAACATTTGCAACTTATTTGTCAAACTCAAACTCGACCCGAGTGTATGACCTTCATCTAATACTATTCGTAGCCAATGAACTTGCATCAAAACACTTCTCTTTGTGGGACTCCACTCAACACTTAGACGACTAAAGGTAGTAATAACAACATCATAATCCCAAGCAAGATTGTGTACAGAAGGCCTGTTGTGATCAGTCCACGCAAAAACACGCAGCTGACCAGGTCTAACATGTTTCTCAATCTGAGTTTTCCAATGGTCTACTAGATTTGAAGGAGCAACGACTAAAGTTGCTCGCGATAGATACAGCCTAATCGAATTTAAAGGCCTACAGAGGGCAGTTCTGAGTGCATCCAAATCAAATACCAAGTTGACAAGTGCTCTTGGGTAGAACCATCTAGTAATTCCCTTTTCTTCCCTCTTAATCAGACCAAAGGCTCGAAATATTCTGATGAACGGGTGAGAACCTCCTGTATCTATAGCAGAATGAACCAATCCAGCTGTTTCCATTTCTGAAAGCTTTTCAGCTGACAGTGTAGCCAGCCAAGTAAGTGCCTTTTTTGTTTCTGGATCAATCAATGTATAATGATCTTTTAGCACATTAACGAAAAAGGAAACATTTTCTTCCGTACATCCAGGAACTCCCCTAGTATGGAATCCCGGAAGGGAGGTTACGGGCTGTTTAGAATCCCAAGATTCTTCTGGAGCACTACAAGTCTGAAATAAAGGATCAGTGTTCATACTGCAAAACCATGCTCGGCTTGAATCCATTGTTAACACATCATCAAGTCTCCGCCACCTGCGACAAGCATCACACTGGACCCAAGTTTCATCGTATTCAAGGTTATTTGCATTGAACTTCTTAAGCCTCCTTCCAGTAGAGGACAATTCATGTGTTTGACTATTCTGTTTCTGACCATTTGAAACATTTTTTCTCTTCTTAATGTGTTTACTTGGACTTTCCTCTTCCTGGTATACAGATAAATCTTGATAAGCATTCAAAAGATTCCTGTTCACTTGGCTCCAGCTTCTGGTACATCGAGTAGCACATGCAGGAGGTGTGGAGAATGTATCTGCCTGTAAGTCGATTCCTGAGCCTATTACACACTTAGCTGGATCAGAAAAGGCAGTCTTTAAAGGCAAGCTTCCTATTGTCCGCAATTTATCCGGAGAAAATATTCCTCGCCTAGCTTTTTGCCCCATAAGCCTATTAGCTGGTGATAGTACCGCATCACTTTCACTCTTCAGCTCATAATAACCACACCTCTGATATGCATTATGTGTGCACCAGATCACTTGTGCACCATCTGGTGGCTCAGCCAATGTTCCTTGTGTCTTTAGAATGAGTGAAAGAACAGTAATAGTTTTACCAAGTCCAGGCTCATCACAAAACATTCCTCCACGAAAATCCCTAACAATAGGAGCAGCTTCTGTTACAACTTCACCAGAAACCACATTTAGATAAAAAGAAAATCCGTCTTCAGTAACAAAATTCATATACAGGGGATGCTGCAAGGGTCCAGCATCCCTCTCACGCCGTAACATCCACTCAACTGCAGCTTGTTGATGAGGATACAGCTTCAATTTCATACAAGGCATGATGGCTTCAGTCAAAAATCTTAAATGGCGACATGTTGCAGAAACCCGGACAAGGTCAATGGGATTAAGGGAACAAAGAATATTGACCAATAAATCATCGGATACGAGCCAGATACCAGGTCTGCTTGGATCGGAAGCATTTATTCTTGAGTATATCGGATCAACCTTCTTTACTATGCTAGGCAAGCTCTTAAATATTTCATGAAGCTCAAAGATCTTTTTCCTGGATGGGTCAGGGGCACTGCAATGATGCTCGCATCTAAGAGCATTGCAGTCAAAAAGATTCCAAATGCTACTATCTTCATCACCTAGTTTGGTAAAATTGAGTATTGAACTTCTGGCTTTCCAATCACAACTGTAATGATACAATTGGACAATGCCATTAGAAGTTCGAGAAAATAAAGAAATCGATTAAAAATAGGTACTCCACCTCTACTCACATCTTAAAAATGAGAGAGACAACACTCTTACCAAAGATGGCATCCCCATGAACAAAAAAAAAAGCTTATAAATTCAATTGAGAAGTTTTTAGCATATATGAGTGAATTGCTGTCTCTGGAATATGATTAAAGAAACAGCTTTAGCTATCGAAATTGTCCCATTAAAGACATCTATGTACAGAGCAGAAAAACGGGGGCTGGGGAGCAGAAAAGAAATCACAATTGGCAACCTGACATGGCGGAATAGTGCAGCAGCAGCAGAGGCGGACCTAGGGAAACGCCAACCTGACCACAATGCCACTGGCAGGTAGACATCAACAAGCAGAACAGACCTGACCTCCCCATCCTGAGCCGCGAGCGACACCACCATGGAATTAATCCTCAAACACTTATGAGTGATCAGCGCATGGAGCTGATGGACCACGCTCATGCTCCCATGGACCATACCGATTCTGCTCCACTTGTTATTCATCTTCAAAGTGGAAGCGCCATTGACGGCAAATGCGACACTCTTCTTATTCTTCTTCTTATACGTCTTCCTATACTTTTTCTTCGAGGCTGAGGGCGCATTGGAACAGATGTACGTCGGACTATCGGCTCCAACACCGTCACGGTTGGAGTTACTGATAGGATACAAGACGACGCCGTTTTCTGCAACAAAGTGCGCATCATGGGCGGTGTCGCCGGCAATCCGACAACGCGAGCCCAAAGGAAGGATATCGGCGATGTCGTCGGTAGGGTTAATTTTAACCCTAAGAACTGCGCGCAAGAAACCGCATAGTTTGTAGTCGGGAGGTATGCAATCGGAAGCACCCGCGACAGAGCTTCCCATTACCAGATTACGGCCTAGAACGAATCAAATCAACGGTTGTTCCGGACAGAAGTGAAAAAGAAGAAGGGGTGGGGTTGGGTGGGGATGGCTACACCGAGTTGAAGTGGGCCGAGGTCATTATTTATGGATAAGTTTAGGGTGGGCCTGAAGTCATTTTTGGACTCCGGGTATAAAAATTTGGGCTCAAGGTAATTTATAAATAAAACAAAGGGAAATTTTCACAAATAAATCTAAAAGTGAAAATAAATCAATATTTTCCAAAATAATATGGTTGCGTATATCTTCTTGTTATCTTATATTCATTATTCACTATCATTATCAATGATGATGACATTGGTGGATTAAAAAACCCCTATTCGTTACTTTTATAAAGAAAACAGTGTTTCGGTGTGATATATCTAGGCTGAGTGGAGGTAATGATTATCTTTTACTGTTTTTTCACCAAAAATTTGGTTTTACAGATTGTTTACAGATTTCATATATATATAATGATTTCACGAAAATGAATGCACAAGATTAATTCTCACTTTGCATCGGAAGACCTCTTTGTATTTGAACCATCCCCTATAGGGGATGGTTCAAATACAAAGAGGTCTTCCGATGCAAAGTGAGAATTAATCTTGTGCATTCATTTTCAGATCTAATGGCTCAAAATGAGCCAACAGTGAACTAAATTTGATACAGTAACTGCATACAATAAAGCAAGTAAAGTCACTTCAACCTCGCTTTTTCCGCTTATCACACAATTCTACGCGCTTAAACAAAAATTGCGTGTTTGGTGAAAAAGTTGGTTGATAAGCCTGATAAGACGAAAAACATTGGTTGCAAATGGCCTCTTAATTACTTAAAAAATATCTTTTAAATGTTTTAAAATTCAGGTTATGTATCTTTGTGTTTTGCCTGTTTTTTTTATACTCAAACTACATTTTACATATGATGGTGTACATTTCGTTTTTATTTATTTGGAAGTAGATTTTTTTTGTTTTTTGTATGGCCAATGGTTTATTTTTGTCATTATATTCTTTTGGGGGCCATTAATCAATCTCAGAATTCAAAAAAAAAAAACTGTTCAAAATTAAAGTTATATATTTATGGGATTTGGGTATTATTTTACCATAGAAGCTACATTTTTTTTGTGAACTACGTTAAATTTGAATCACATTTCATTGACCTTATATCGTTTTTTATGCATTTTTTTTGGAAATAATAATAATATGCTATTCTAATAAATAACTTATAAAAATGAATATATTGATTTAATTATTTTACTTTGACGGTTTGTATTTTGCATTGTTTTGTTTGTAAATAAATCATGATATTAGTAGGTATTATGATGCCTAATATGTTTTACTATAGTTGAAGGTTAATATTTTTACGACTTTTACTTAATTTACACAAGATCGCATGATCGATTTTATACGATAAATTATTTGATGATTACTGTAACAGTTGTAAATTTTAATGAGTATTAAATTTAATTGTTTTTTACCCATGTTTGTGCTTTGGCAAATTCTTTAGATTTTCATGACGATGAATTAGTTTCACTTCCTGCTATACAACCTCGCATTGTTGCAGCGTCTTCATCTCCAACTGTTGTTTATTGTGATGGTGGATCAGGTATCGTTGTTGATGTAGTGGTTAATGTTGTTTTATAACCAATGTGTTGTGTAGATATGTATTATACATAGTTAACATAAAATTGAGTTATATCTTGGAACACAAGGTGGTCGTATCGATGCTCCCAATTCGCCCAGAATTGCAGCTTATGTGGCTTCAACGTTTCTCGACACGGAGGATATGGCGTCCATTGTTGACAGTGATGCGGATGATGAGTATGTTGACTATGAGACCTTTCCTGCACACAACCTTGATAGAGCAGTCGGTGTGTGTTGATCCATTATCGGTTACAATATCCACATACGCAAATATGCACTAATGGGTATTTTTATTGTTTAATTTTGTTGTCATTTTTCCGATTGTAGGGTACTGGGACATTGGCGATGCGCAACATGTGTGCGGGTTTTGCAATGCCTTTTTTGGTTTGAGGAACGTGTAATTTATGCGTCTTCTAAAGAGATTCTGAAGTACTCTTTATGTTGCTGTAAAGGAAACGTTGTTTTGCCCGTTATGAAAGAACCGCCTTCATTCTTACATGGATTGATCCACGGTTCTGATGAATGTAGCAAACATTTCATTGAAAACGTGAGATCATACAACATTATGTTTTCATTCACCTCAATGGGCGGTAAAGCTGAACAAAATGTGAACAAGGGAAAGTCTCCTCCGATTTTTAAACTTCAAGGACAAAATTATCATCTAATCGGGAGCCTGTTGCCTCCACGTGGATCAAAACCTAAGTTTGCCCAATTGTATATATATGATACGGAAAATGAAGTTCGAAATCGGATTTCATCCGTTGGGTAAGTAGAGTTTACACATATTTTGTTTTCCATTTTATAAAAGATTTTTATATATACTCTAACTAATTTGTTACAGTGACGACATCAGGAAAACTAAGTTGCATGAAGGCATAGTTGTTGGGTTGACTAAGATGCTTAATGAAAATAACGTGTTGGTGAAATCTTTTCGTCTCGCCAAAGAGAGAATGGATGCGGATAATGTCCCGGATGATAGGTTGAAGTTGATTGGAAAGCGTTGTGGGGATGTGAGAACATATAATTTACCGTCTGTTTCTGAGGTTGCAGCTTTGGTCGTAGGAGATTTTGATGAATCAATGGGTGAGAGAGATATTTTGGTTGAGACACAGTCAGGAGCGCTCAAACGAATAAATGAACTTAATCCGGCGTATTTTGCCCTTCAATATCCATTGCTGTTCCCTTATGGGGAGGATGGTTACCGTGAGGATACGCCATTGTCCAGGGGTGGTAATATTGTTGGAGATGGCAGAAAGAGAGTTAGTGTTAGGGAGTTTCTTGCGTATCGGCTTCAAGATCGGTGTGACAATTATTCATCAATGTTGAGGATGAAAAGGCTTTTTCAACAATTCATTGTTGACGGTTATACGTTGGTCGAAGCTGCGCGGTTAAGGTTTGTTAGGACCCATCAAACGGAACTTCGTTGTGAGATGTATAAAAGTTTGAGTGATGCTTTTTTACGTGGAGAAAATGATTCACGCACGCAGGGTAAAAGAATTGTGTTGCCCCCTACCTTTACTGGAGGAGCACGTTTTATGATACAAAATTATCAGGACGCGATGGCCATCTGCAGGTGGGCAGGTTATCCAGATTTATTCATTACCTTTACGTGCAATCCGAGATGGCCCAAGATAGATCGCTTCTTGCATGTGAGAAATTTGAAAGCGGAAGATCGTCCTGATATAGTAAGTCGTGTTTTCAAGGTCAAGCTCGACGGTTTGATTAGAGATCTCTGCAAAAATAAAGCCTTTGGAAACCTTTGAGGAGGTAGTGTTTCCACTTCAATCCTTATTTCATTAACATCATATCCATATAATTTTACCTCATTTGTTTTTTCCAGTTGTCTACACAATTGAGTTTCAAAAGCGTGGTTTGCCTCATGCGCATATATTGTTATGGTTAGCGAACGAGGATAAATGGCCCTCGCCCGTTGATATAGATAGGGTAATATCTGCAGAAACTCCGGATAAAGACGTTGATCCATTGTATTATGCTGCTATGAGGGACTTTATGATGCATGGGCCTTGTGGTAATCTAGCGAAGTCTGCGCCTTGCATGGTTGACGGTAAATGTACCAAGCATTTTCCTAAAAAATGGTGTGCAGAGACGACTGTGGACGAGGATGGTTACCCAATGTATAAGAGGAGATATGATGACCGCAGAATAACCAAAAATAAGGTTGATTTGGACAATAGGTATGTTGTTCCCCACAGTCGTTATTTATTGATGAAATATGGGGCCCATATGAACGTAGAGTGGTGTAATCAGTCAAGGTCAATCAAATATTTGTTTAAATACATAAACAAAGGTCATGACCGGGTCACAGCGGGGTTTTACCAGACAAGTGAAGGTGATGCGGAACAAAAGCCAGTTGATGAGATACAAATGTACTATGACTGCAGATACATTTCTTCTTGCGAAGCTGCTTGGCGCATATTTGGGTTTCAAATTCAATATAAGATCCCGCCTGTTGAACGCCTGAGCTTCCATTTACCGGAAGAACAAAGTGTTGTTTTTCACGATGATCAGCCATTAGAATCAGTTGTTCGAGCATGTTCTGTTAAGGAGAGTATGTTCACGGCATGGATGGAGGCCAATAAAAAGTACTCAGAAGCAAGACTTTTGACGTATGCAGAGTTTCCTCAAAAATTTGTTTGGAAAAAGAAGACAAGGGAATGGGCTCTCAGAAGACAAAAATTCGCTATTGGTAGAGTCTACCATGTCCATCCCGGTAATGGTGAATCTTATTACCTCCTATGTCTTTTGAATCACATTCGTGGTGCAACAAGTTATCAGGATTTGAGGACATGGAATGGTGTCACTTACGATTCTTTTCGTGACACATGTTATGCGTTGGGCTTGCTCGACGATGACAAAGAATTCATTGACGCTTTTATTGAGGCAAGTCACTTCTCAGCTGCCTATTGTTTGAGGATTCTATTTGTGATGTTGTTATGGACGGAGTCAATGGCTAGACCTGAGTACGTTTGGGAAAGATGTTGGTCTTACATGGATGATGACATTCAATATACGCGAAGGCGAATATTACAACATCCAGGTTGTGATCGCCATGCCTATTTATTATTTCAATGTATTAAAACTTTGTATCTGTTACTTTCATTTTTTTATAATATTGACTGTTTTTCATATTCCAGATCTTATATTCTTTCTGACGACCAATTGGTCAACTTTGCTTTGGAAGAAATAGAAAGGTTGTTACAGACATGTGGAAAAAGTTTGCGTGATTATCCTCCGATGCCTACAGTGGTTCTCAATTCGCTACTATCATCTAATGACAGACTTATATGTGAGGAGTTGCGTTATGATCAAATTTCAATGAAAGAGGAACATTCTACGTTGTTCAAATCTCTTACAGA